GGGGGGGGGGGGGGGGGGGGGGGGGGGGGGGGGGGGGGGATGGTGAACCTGCGCGAAACGGCGCAGGATTACAGGATTTAGATCTGTAAGGGACCTTACTCATTTAATCCAGCCCTGTCATTTGATAAATGAGAAAAACTGAGCCATAGTTGCCTCCTGATCTTCTCTTAAGTAACAGAATAAGAATTTAAAGCAGATCCATTGACTTTTGGCACGAAGTATGGGATAGCAGAAAAGGTACCACACCTGGTTGTCTACTAAACTCAGCATTAATTAGTTCTGTCACTTGGGATGGATCATTTCCACTTCTGATGCCTCGGTTTTCTCATCTGCAATATGAGGGTTGGACTAGGTAGTCTCTAAGGTCCTATACAATTCTAACATTCTAGAACCTTCAAGACTCCATACAAACTCCACCCAGCCCTTCCACTGTGCCCTCTGGAATGCCTGTTTCATAGGCAACAAACTTGCCTTCATCTAAAATCTTTTCCTCTCCCACTCCTTTCATCTACTGGCTCTTACAGAAACCCGGCTTTCTTCTAATAACACCACCTCCCTGGCCACTCTTTCCAGTACTGGTTGCACCTTCAATTATTCTCCCCAGCTCACTAATCAAGGCATGGGAGTTGGAATATTTCTTGCTTCTCAATGCCACTTTTAGGTTCTCCTCCTTCATCAGTCAGCAACCTCTCTTCCTCTGAACCTCCTCTTCCTTCCTATTCATATCCACTATCCAATAAAAAAGCTGGTAACTTTTGTCTACAGATCCTCAGGTCATTCTCCTACCTTCCTCAATGAGTTAGATACCTAGCTTACAATTTTTCTTCCCTCAAATACCCTAACCACTGAGCTCCTCCACCCACTCACCTCGTATGAGCTACTCCTCTACCCTGGAGGCCATCTCCAGTAATCCTGATCTGTATCTTGCCACTGGACCTACCGAGGAGAAAGTGAGGCTGGGGACTTTGCACAGCCCTCCCTCACTTAAATCCAATTCATTTGCAAGTCATGGCATCACCTTCCTGATGCCATGGTCCTTTTTGAGAACAAAGGACAAACAACCACCACAACAGCCACCTCTACCCTACCTCAGCCACACACAAAGATTATAATACCCTTGTTCTTGCCATCACACACAAATGGACCACCTCCATATTCAGGAATTCAGAAATGCTCTTATCCAACCTTCATCTATTGGCTTTTCACCTCTCCTTCTGCCATCATTCACATGACCCTACTCTTCTTCCACATTGTGATTTCCAATCCCGTGACCCCTCAATTCTCTCCCAGGCCATCTCTCCTGCACTAGCTACTCTCTCCTCTTCTCATCTTGACTCTTTGGTGAAGCAATTCATTTCTACACTGTCCTCTCCTGAATCCCTAACCCCCTTATCATATCACCGATTACACCCAGTCAAGCCTCAGCCTTGGCTCACTCCTACCATTAGTTGCCTTTGCTCCTACACATGCTGCTAAATGAAGGTGGAGAAAATCATGCAACCAACTCTGACTGGGTTCACTACAATTTTATGTTAAATAACTTCAACTGAGCCCTCACTGCTGCTAGGCAATCTTACTATGCCTTCCCTTATCAACTCACTATTCTCCACAACGGCTCTTCCAAAACTTTTCATTCCTCTTCAAACCTCCCATCAGTCTCCCTCCCCCCACTCTCTCAGCTGAGAACCCTCTCATATTTTACAAAAAAGTTGAGGCCATTTGCCACATGTTCCTCATCTCCTGTCACTCAGATGCATTCTAACCCTCTCTCCTCCTTCACCCACCTCACATGATGAAATAGCTAACCATAACCAAGGCTAACCCTTCTATTTGTTCAGGTGATCCCATTCCAACCCATCTCCTCCAACAGATTTCCCCATCATCCCCACTCTTTCATTTATTTTAAATCTCTCCTCCTTACTGGCTTATTTCCTACTGCCTACAAACATGCCCATGTCTCCCCTATGCTGGAAAAACTCCTCACTTGACCCTTCCATCCCAGAGAACTATTGTCCTATTATCGTCTCTGCCCTTTATAGCTAAACACCTTGAAAAGGCACACGAGGTGCCTCCACATTCCTCTCATTATCTTCTTAACCCCTTACAATCTGGCTTCCAACTTTTATTATTCCACCAGAACTGCTCTCTTCAAAATTACTAATGATCTCTTAATTGCCTGTTCTCAATCTTCTTTCTCCTTGACTTCTCTGCAGCTTTCGACACTGCTGATGACTCTCTTCTCCAAGACTCTTTTCTCTCCAAGTTTTCAAGACCCCACTCACTCCCGGTTTACCCCCATGTGACCACTCTTTTTGTCTCCTTAGTTGGATCCTCCTTCAGTTCATGCCCTTTAACCATACTCTAAGAGTTCTGTCCTGAGTCCTCTTTTTCCTTTATTGTATTTCAAATGATGATCTCAACAACTCTCATGGATTTAATTACCATCTTTGGGTTGATAATTATCAAATTTACCTTTCCTGCCCCAATTTCTTTACTGACCTCAAACTGCACATCTCCAACTTCCTTTCAGACATCTCAAACTGAAGGTCCAGCAGAAGTCTTAAACTCAGTATGTCCAAAACAGAACTCATTATCTTTTTCCCAAATCCTCTCATTCCTACCTTCCCTATTATTGTGGAGGGCAATACCATCCACCCAGTCCATTCCTCAAGTTTAAAGCCTAGGAGTCACCCTAGATTCCTATTTCTATGCCCCCACATCCAAGCTGTTGCCAAGGCCTGTTGATTTCATCTTTGCATCCTCTCCTCTGACACTGCTATTATTCTGGTGCAGACCCTCATAACCTCACCTTGATTATTGCAATAGCCTGCTGGTGGGTCAACCTGACTCAAGGCTCTCTACCCACTCCAATCCATTTTCCATCAAGCCACTAAAATGATCTTCCCAAAGGACAGGTCCTATCATGTCACATGTCTCCCGAACACCCCTTCCCCCCCACCACATACACAGGGGCCTCCTATTGCCTCCAGGAGCAAATGCGAAGTGCTCCATTTGGCATTTAAAGACCTTCATAACTGAGCCCACTCCTACCTTTCCAGTCTTCTGACACCTTACTCCCCAATACATTTTTCTTCAGTCTGGTAACATTGGCCTCCTGGTTGTTCCATAACCCCTTTATTTCTAATGCCTTCCCTCTTTTAATTATTTCCTACTTATCCTGTATATAGCTTGCTTTGTATTTGTTTACATGTTGTTTCCTCTGTTAGATTGTAAGCTCCTAAGGGCAGGGACTATTTTTTGCCTCTTTTTGTACTCCCAGTGCTTAGCACAGTGCCTGGCACATAGTTGGTGTTTAAAAAATGTTGACTGATTCTCAAGGGAATGATAGGAGTGGGTGCCCTTCATATTATCTCACAAGTCACACTATTGGGCCTATTTCCTCCTCTGTACACAAGCAGGTAACAGTAGTATCCAAAGCACCCTGTACCTGGAGTTGGAACCTTTCTATGGTTTTCTCACATTCCCTTATCCACCCCTGGCCTGCCTTCCTCATACCATCTGGCACTTGGTAAACAAACACTTAGGTGTTGACTGACTCCAAGTATGTACTTTACAAAGCCACTGGAGGTCACTGGGACTTTTCTCACAGTACAAAGAATCTACAGCACAGAATAGGACCACAACTAAGGGTCCTAGAAAAAACTGGGTCTCTCCAGATTCATGGTGTTCCCATCAAGAATGTGGTGCTTTCATACTGAATCTGGCTGCCCAAATTAGGGAACTGCATCCTTCACTAGACTCTGCCTCCACCTAGCAGATCCTGATTCCCTACCACTCTGATCAAAATTCACCCCCCTTTTGTCCCAGCTCTGCAAGATCCTATTCTCTGCTAAAATAACTGTGTGCTTTTCTAATTAATTCCTTGTGATAGAGATCTGGATGCAGTGGGAGTTCTCGGGACTCAGTGGACCAAACAGGTTTCCTTAATCCTCTTACAAATGTATAAATAGGCATTAGATACGTTAAGAACGCAACTGTTACAGAATTTGTAATTGAGTGTATTATATCCCAAACCTTTGGTGTACTTTGTGCCCAAGTCCTCAGAAAGTTTAGACACAGAACCTAATGTACAAGACAGTACATAAAGCACAAGGAACACAAAACAAAGACACCCAAAAAAGAGCCACTCAGGTAACCAGACTCTTAAGTTAGCTTACCAAGATGAGGTCATACCTACTTCTTGTTCTCCCATTTACCAATACACTGAGCCCTGTAATCTCAGTATAACGGCCAGTCAAATATCATCAGAGAGGTTCAGGTTAATCCTTTCATATTCTGTCCATAGGCAGCTTCAGGGGGGGAAAAGGTTGGTACTCTGCTCAGGGCCATCAGCAACAGCTGCCACTTTCAGGCAACTGACCTGCCCTTCACGATTTTGGGAAGAAGTCAAGGAAAAAGGCTGGGGGGTATACAGGATATGGGACTTCAGATGAATGTCATCATTCTTAGGAAATTTAGGCATAGTCTAAAGAATACAGAATTGGAAATAACAGAAGAGGGGTCTGGGTACATTTCTACCACTATTAGCTGGGTGTACCATGACCAAGTCACTTCATTGTTTATTTCCTCTTTTGCAAAATAAGGATGATAAAATTCCCACAAGGTTATAGAAAGAAGTGCTTTATCAACCTTAAAATGCTACAGAACTGAGCTGTCAATACCATTCCTCAAAGGAAACATTTCCATTTTAACAGGATGCCTTAATTCAAAGGAGTCACTTCATTCATTTATCCAACACATTTATTATGTTTTACTTGCTGAGGGGAGATACAGAGTTATCAGATAGTCTCTGCCCTTCCGGACTTCACAATCTAGTAGGCAAGTGGTAGTGGGGGGGAAGCAGAACTAGCACTAACCTGGGTCCTAGTCTAGGCTCTGCCACAAACTAGCTGTGTAACCCTGGAAAAGGCCTCCCACCTCTCTGAACCTCAGCATCCTGATCTGCAAAATGAGGGGGCTGGACCAGTTAATTCAACTGAACAAACATTTATGAAGCACCTCCTATGTGAACTATTCTAGGTTTCAGGAATACAGAGACACAACACAGACCCTGCTCTTAAGAAGCATACAATCTAACGGGAACAGACAGGTACAGAAATAACAATGATACAAGGGGAAAGTGAGATTAAATGTAAAAGTCCAGGAAAAATGGAAGGAAAAGTCACATTCACCTAAAGGGTGGTGGGAGAGAGTGGTTAGGAAAGGTTTGTGGAGATGAAACCCAACTGGGTATTCAAGGAAGGGACTTTGCAATAGACAGAGATGGGGGCGGGTGGGAGAAGCATAAAGTCCATTACAAAAATGGAAGACATTATGAAGAATACAGATATGGGGGGGGCAAGATTAAAATGGAGGAGAGTAAAACCTAGCTTAGCTCAAATAATGTTAAGGGAAAGATAATACTTGAAAGGTGGAGTGGAAAAAGATTTTGGAATACCTCAAATGTCAGGATCAAGAATTTATAAGCAATAAGAAACCACTGATTTTTGAGAAGTGACATAAAAAGTTTGCTCAAGCAGCAAGGAGGGGATAGCTTGGAAGCATGAAGATCAGTTAGAAGATTATGTTAATAGCCTAGACAAAGAGAGATGAGGCCCTAAACTACAATGGAGGACATCAGGCAGGCAGAATTGTCAGAACTAAATAACTGACTAGATATGGAGGTGGGGGGAGGGGGTAGGAAGAGAAGTTTAAGAAAAAAGGCAAGTTATATACATCAGTAACTGAAAGGATGGTGGTTACAGCATAAATGGAGGCTGTGAGAAAAGCAAGTTTTGTAGATCACAGGATGAGCTCAGTTCTGGGCAGACTGATTTTGATGTACCAGTGGAATGTATAGATGGAGATTCACAGTTGGAGTTCTGAAGCTGGAACTCTAGGAAAGAGTCTATTGTCTATTTCCCACGAAGATGGGAAAAGGCTATGAATAGGAGAGGAATAGGATATTAATAGGGAAGTTACCCAGTTTGACCAGAAAAGATGTGGAAGTTACCTGCATAGACATGCTAACTGAAGCCATGGGACCAGAAAGTATTGGCAAAAGAAAATGGAAGAGGCCGAGTGTCCTGAGGGATACTTAGGATTGAGGGGTAGGATGATGAAGAACCAACTCTAAGGATCAGTCAGAAGCAAACTGAATAAAATGCAACAACATGTAAACCAAAGTAGAGGCTATCAAGTACGATGGCACCAGGGAGCCACAGCATCAAATACTACAGTTACCTAAGATCTCTTCTTCCAGTTCTAATGTTCTCCAAGGTCATGAATCGGAAGCATGTACACAAATAACTAAATATAAAGTAGAGTGACTTGTAATATTGGGAGTTCAACGGCCCTCGAAAGGCAGGAAGAAACATTTATAGAGGTCCTGTCCACCTGCCTGACATCATTTACATATGTATGTGCATTTTTGTGTAATATGAATTTGACACCAAAGTAAAATTAGCCCACTCCTGCCAAGTGTGGGGTAATTGATGTTACCCTAGAACCACTTTCCCTACTAACGTCGCATCTTGATTACCCACTAGGCAGGCACAGGCTGCTAAAGGGCAAAATCCGAGTCTAACAAAAGCCTACAAACCTTGTAACATCTTCATCACACCGATGATGCTGGTAGTGCCTAGACAAAGCTGAATTTAGAGAACCCATATTTAGATTCTGACTGCCACTTACTACCTATGTGACCTTAAGCAGGTCTACGGGCCTCATTTTCTTATATGTAAGATGCTAGGATTGGACCAGATAACCTCTCATCTGTTCTCTCTTTCAGCTCTAAATCTTTGATCCTATAATGGTAAAATCAGCAATAAAGACGGTTCCGCTTTTCCTAGTAGCCTGTTGTTTGTCCTTTGTTCTCAAAGGAGACCATGGTGTCAGAAAGGTGATACCATGACTTGCAAGTGAACTGGATTTAAGTGAGGGAGGGCTGTGCAGTCACCAGCCTCACTTTCTCCTTGGGAGCCATCTGGGTCCAGTGGCAAGATAGAGATCAGGATGACAGGAGATGACCCAGAGCCAAAGAATAGGAAGATAAAGCTCCCTGGATACCTGGGTTCTTATCCCAGTTCTATCTGCTTGCCAGAGAGCCCTGGAGAGGCCTGTTTGCCCTTCTAGAAAATTATCACAACCGTCAGGGCTAAAGTCACTGCATTCTCTTGAGATTCCCAACTGTAAGAGACTTTTAAGTCCAAGGCACTCTGGAATCTCTCAAGCTGGGGACCTGACTTGATCCCTGACCCCATTCTCCTTCACCCAAAACCCCAAGTCCCATTGATGTTGATTTTATTGTGTGAGTTTCTACCTCTGCACACATTTCCCTTGGAAATTAGCTTTCTATTTTCATACCTTTGCAACTCAACACGGGGAGAGAACAAATTTCAGCCATAGTTGGAAATCAGTTTTATTCACTGGGATTTGAGGGAAATAGACTTGCTATGTATGGCTTGGCTCCAGAGAACAGAACTAGAACCAATGGGTAGAAAGTACAGAGAAATACACTTTCACTTAATGTAATAAAGAAATTTCTAACAACTAGATATTCAGTAGCAGAATGAACTACCTTCAGAGGTCTCTCAATCCCCACCACTGGAAGTGTTCAAGCAGAGGCTGGTCTGTTAAGAGATGAGGTAAGAAATTCCTGCATTAGCTGAGAACTAGATGAACTCTAATGTCTGTTCCAACAGGCTCTTGAATCTCTTCCGTGCCTATCCCATACCTGGCCTATTCCCCAGGGCTTTTCCACTGACCCTTCTTAGATTCATTATTAGAAGCCCAATGTCTCCCTTTCTCTCCAGTACATTAATGAGAGCTACAAGAACTAAAGGAAAAGGGGACTCTACTTCAGGGATTTAGATAAAAGTCTTGATCTGGGAAATGAAAACGGAGTGAAGGCGAAAAAGGTTGTGTTGAGCCATTACAAAGCTGAAAACAATTGTGAGTAGAGAGAAGGCTACATACACACAGGGGAAAGAAAAGGTGAAGGAAAAGGGGTAGATCTGGGCTTGAGATTGGGGGGGGGGAGGGAACAGCATGAAGGGGATGGGGAAAATCACGTGCTGCTAAAAACTGACACCATTAGGGTACTTCCTTCCCTGGAGATGTCTGAATAAATCCAGATGCTGCCTAACATATTGGAGGTCTCTGCATGTGTCCAGATGTTTTCCTCATTCTCTCTGGCTACTGATGCATCTTCTTTTCAAATACTTCTTCCCCAGGGGGGCATGAAGCAGAACTTCCAGTGAGGCGGGAACAGCTTGGGATACCTGGAAACCTCTAACAAGCCTGATGGGGCAAGGGCACCCAGTCCTCTTTCCAGGGTCCTGACCAGCTTCCACCAGAAGCCTCCCACCATCGTCACTAACATCCTCCAGCCCTTCTCCATCATGACACCTCTGTCCCTTATCTTTGCCTACCCCCCAAAGTTTGTCTCCCTCTCTCTGCTCTCTCATTCCCGCCAGCTCAGGCCACATGCTTCCTCTGATGGGTCAGGAGCTTTTGTTCATGACTGAAGCTCTCACCACAGGTGGCACAGATGAATGGCCCCTCTCGACCATGGCTCTTGCGGTGAGTGATGAGGTTGGATTTCTGACTGAAACGCCTCTCGCAATCTGGGCAAGCATAAGGCCGCTCACCTGTATGGATGCGTCGGTGGGATACAAGGTTGGATTTCTGGCTGAAGGCCTTGCCACAGTCAGGACAGGCATAGGGCCTCTCACCTGTGTGGATGCGGCGGTGGGCGGCTAGGTAGGGCTTGTGCCTAAAGGACTTGCCACAGTCCGGGCAAATGAAGGGCCGCTCTGGGGCATGGTCACGACGATGGGCTGCCAGGTGACTTCCTTGTGAGAAACGGCGCCCACATTCCAGGCAGGCAAAGGGTCGCTCACCTGAGTGGATACGGAGGTGAGCCACTAAGTGGGTCTTCTTACTGAAGTTCTTTCCACATTCACTGCAGGTGAAAGGACGTTCCCCAGGATGTAGCTGCTGCTGACCTCGCAAGGACCTTCGGTTCCGGAAGGTGCGGCCATGCTCATCATAACTATAGGGGACAGCAGGATCCACTTCCCGGTCCCGCTGAAGATTCATTCCCTGGTCCTGCTGAGGGTCCAAGACCTGATCCTGCTGGGAGTCCATCTGATCTTGCTGACGGTCTATGGACTGATCCTGCTGGGAGTCTATGGCCTGGTCCTGCTGAAGGTTCATGGCCTGGTCCTGCTGGGTGTCTGTGGCCTGGTCGTGCTGAGTCTCTAACAGCTGAAGTGGAAGCTGGAAACTCCCTTGGCTACTGGTGGCCTCGGCAGAGCCCTGAGGGCGCCGGTGAATCTTGCCATGGGACAAAAGGTTGGGTTTGTGACGGAAGCGGCGCCCACATTCAGTGCACGGATAAGGCTTCTCACCAGTATGAATTCGCCGGTGGGAGGTCAGGTAGGGCTTATTAGTGAACCGTTTCCCACACTCAGGGCACTGATGGGGACGTTCACCAGTATGCACACGGCGGTGAGCAATCAGGTTGGGCTTGTGACGGAAACATTTGCCACACCAGGCACACTGGAAGGGTCGGTCAGCAGCATCACCACCTGGCTGGGCAGCAGTAAGAGCGGGGCGGCCCCGGGGCCGAGGTGCAAGTACTTTTTCTGATGCCTGTGCTTCAGCCACATGGATCTGCTTGTGGGCAACTAGCTCCGCCCATTGTGCAAAGCTCTGACCACAGCCACTGCAGATGAAACGGCGAGGTGGCGGGGCAGGTGGGTGGTTCTGTCGCAGGTGTGCCCGCAGCTGGGAGGTTCGGCTAAAGCATTTCTCACACCTGGGGCAGGCAACTGCCCGGGCAGATGAAGCATGAGCCTGGCCATGCAGTGCAAGGGCTGCCCAACTCCTGAAACTCTGCCCACAGACTTGGCAGAGGAAACCTGTGGCAGGAGGTATGGCTGTGGCAGCAGAGTGGGCCAGGCGGTGTAAGGCCAAGAAAGGAGCATGGTGAAATCGACGCCCACACTCAGGGCAGGGCAAAGGTGGATGGCCATGGCGCCAACGAGTATGATGGCGCAAGGCTGCCCATCCAGGGAAGTGCCTCCCACAGCGGGCACAGCGGTAGGCACCGCCCTGGAACAGGCCCCCACGACTAGCTGCCACAGTCCCTTCTAATTTAATCTTATGGGTATCCTGCTGTGACCCTTGGAGTGACTCCTGAAAGGATCCAGAGAAGAGCCGAGCCCGAGATGGACCCATAGCAGGGGGTCTCCTGCAGTGACGCTCCAACAGAGGTCGTTGCCCTGCTGAGGATAAAAAATCAGAGTCATTTTAGAAGGGCTACTATGTGACCTGGAGAAAATCTTGGATGACTTCTCTGGAACTCCATTTCCTCATCTATAAATTGAGAAGGTTAGACCACTCCTGGGGTGCTATCTAGCCCTAAATATCTAGCATCAGAGTTAGGCAAACCTGGGTTTAGTTCCTACCTCTGACATAATGGTGGTTTGACCTTGGACAAGACACTTAAATCTTTCAGTACCCCAGCCATCTTACAAAGATCATAAGGAGCTGATCTATTTTAGTACAGGGAGTTCCCTGCACCAACATAATTGCAGGTTCAGTCAAAAAAAAAAAATTAAGTCATTTCATGCCTCCTCTCTTCCATGAAGTCTGTCCTGAACACTCCAAATTACAATGCTCTACCCTAGACTTTAAACTCAGACAGCATTGACTGTCCCCTCTGATCCTCTAAGTAGTACAAGGAAAAAGCTAACACCCCTACTGCCCTACAGAGCAATAATCCCCTTTCACAAGCAGGCACCCTTGAAGGCAGTCTTTGAAGCAACTCTGGGCAAGGAATAAGCCATCCTTCAGGGAGGCTGAGGCCTATGAGGCCTACCTCTCCTTCCCTCACCTAAAGGGGGAACAGGACAGCAGTCTTCTTCAAGGCCACAGTAGGAGAGAATAGCAAGAAGCTGTTCAAGACTCAGAGGACCAAGAGGACTGAGCAAAGGGACACTTACCTGTAGTGTTTCGGATCACCCTGCCCCCACCAGAAGGGAGCTGCCCCCCACTGCCACATGGTTCCTCCCCAGGAGACCCTGTAAGAAGAAATAGCTATATTGAATAGGAGAAAGGAGGTGGCAGGGACCCCCTGATACTCAACAAGGCTTTCCCTAGGGTCCCTCCAGCTTCCTGCCTTGCCACCTACTCCAAGTGTCCTCCCCCTCCCCTACTGCTCTCTCAATTTCCCTCTTCTATATAGAGGAAGAAAGAATTAGCTCTCTCCCCCAGGCTAAGCAGTTGAGTACAAAATCAAATGCAGCCCCACGATAGCCCTCACTTGAAATGTGATCCCTACATATGTAACCCTCACCAAACCTAGGAGGGATCAGGAAGAAGGCCAGACCCTACCCCGTGAACGCACGAACAGGCGATTCTCCTTCCAGCCTCGTTTCCGAATGAACCTACTTCTCCCCAGAGAGAGGTATCTCCGATCCTTTCCAGAATGCAGGGATGCCTGCAAAAACAAAGACTTTACCTACACCACTCTGGACAAGACTTACTCTAACCACAGGGGGGCCAGTCCTTCCAAAGACAGATAGAGAGAAACCAGCTTTCAAGGAGCAGCTGCTAATTTCCTCTGAAGTGTTTTACATCTGTGTAATTTCACAAGTATAAGATGGAGAGGCACCTGGGAGTTTTTGTGGACTCTATTTCAATATGAATCCACAGTTTGACATAGCAGCCTAAACAAGCTAAAGCAATCTTAAGTGGAGTTAAGAGAGGCATACAGCATTCAGTGAAAAGGAAGAGATGACCCCACCCTATTTTTCCCTGGTCAAACCACATCTGGAGAACTGTGTTCAGGTCTGAGCACTTCCTTTTAGGAAGGATACTGACAAGCTTCAGTGCATATACTCAGAAACAACCTGGATGGATCTAGGCTCTCAAGACCATGCCTTCACAAGACTGCTTGAAGGATTAGCGATGTTTAGCCTGAAGAAGACTTAGGGAGGGAGCAGATATATCAACTGTCTTTTAGTATATAGATATAGAAATATAAACATGCATACATATACATAATATATATGTACACATACACACACAAACACAGGCACACACACACACAATATTCCATTTCACTTTTTAATGATTCAAATTGTTAGTTGTTCTTTCCCCACATCCACCTGAAATCTGACTCCCTGAAGCGTTCCTTCCTGTCTGGTTCTGCTGACCTCTTGGGTCAATCAAAATAAGTCTAATCCTTCTTCCCTATCATATTCAGCCTACAGGTTAAAGAGACTTGTTCTGCTTCCCCAAAAGGTCAGCAGAGCCACAATGGGCTAAAAGTTGTAGGGAAGCAGATTTCAGATGGAGGTAAAGGAAAAAACTCCTAACAATTTGAGTAATGCATGAGAGGAATGGACTGACTCTGGTGACCTTATGTTCACAAATGTCTTCAAGTGAAGGCTGGAAGATCACTGTTTGTGCTGGGAATCTAGGTCAGTGAGGTTGGCTTTGATAGTTTCTGAGATTCTGTTGTTCTGCCTTCACTCCCAAAGGATGTGTACCGCCCCCGCCCCAATTCAGGCATCCCTTTTACCCCCCTGAAGGGCTTCTCCCATCCGTAACCTGCCATTATTTTGTCTGATTTCCCTAGATGGCCAGAAGGCCAGGCGTGCGCGCGCGCGCACACAGTCTCCCCCTCCCCCTCCCCCTCTCCCACACATTCACACCTCCAATGGGCGGGGGTGGAGAACAAAGGCAGGACCAAGACGTGCGGAGCACACCCAAGGCAAAGCGAACAAGCACACCTCTCCCACGCAAGGGCGTGCACACACCTCCAGGTGTACGTGCACATCTACACATCCTTCCCTGCAGCACATGCGCACAAAGATGTGTACATACACACTTGCACCCACGCGTATTTGGGCCTCACAAGAGCCCCAGGAGTCATCCCCGCCCCCCCCAACACCCCAGCCTCCAGTGCTCAAGATTCCCCCTCCCCTCCCTACTGCAGCGCCCCCGGCAGGCGCACTGCTACCCCTCCACCCTCCTCCCGCGCATGCGCCCTCCGGGGCCCCGCACCCCAGGCGTTTGACGGCGCCATCCCCCCCCCCCCCCAATCCCCCCCCCCCCCCCCCCCCCCCCCCCTCCCCCGCCGGGTCGTACCCCCCGGTCCGTGTGCTTGTACGCACGCCTCCCATCCATGTACGGGGAAACCGGTGCCGCTTCACCGCCCAGCAGCAGGCCCAGCCTCACCCCCGCCAGGCCCATCCCCTCCCCGCCACCTCCCGGCCTCCCTCGAGCTCTCCTTCAGCCCCCCTGTCCGCGCTCCGACCCTCTGTGCCTCCCTCCTTCCCTGGCAGAGCCCAGCACCATGTGACTACCGGAGCTGCCGAGGGTCAGTCCCCGTGCTCGGGCGCAGGGCGGGGAGGGGCGGGGCTGCCAAGGCCTCGGCGGGGGGGCGGGGGCGGTGTCCTCTGGAGGGTTGGACCGCCGGTCTAGGCCTTGCTGCCTGACGCTCCGACTCTGATGGGGTGAGGTGGGGTGTCATAGGCTTCCACCCGAGAGATTACGGGGACCTCGCCCTTGTTTTACACGTGGGGAAACTGAGGGATTTCTCCAAGGTCATGCGGTTGGCAGTAACTAGGATTCAAACGTAGGTAGGTCCTCCGAAAGGAAATTCAGGTGTAACCTCCAGGAGTGCGGACGTGTCCCAAAGACCTTGATTTCCATTAATCGTAGATCTGTCGTGTTGCTGAAAAAAAGACACCCCCCCACCTTAACCCCGAACTCAGAGCCAGATGGGGGGTGACTTTGTCCAGACGAGTCCCCTTTCTGGGCCTCAGTTTCCTCATCTGTAAAATACCGTACCTGCACTGACCCTGCTCTCTGCCCGCACCTCACCCCGGCCCGTCCTCCCCTGTACCTGGTATTTAACTACTTCGTGGGTGTTTAGCGAGGCGCCTAGCACCCTTTTTTTCCAGTCCTGTCTGACTCTTCGTGACCCCATTTGGGGTTTTGTTGGCAAAGATACTAGAATTATTTGTCATTTCCTTCTCCAGTTCATTTTACTGACGAGGAACTGAATATGGTTGATATAGATATATAGACTCTCCCATTAGAATCCAAACTCATTGTGATTAGGGATTGCTGTTTCATCCTTTTTTCTTCCCCAGGTCCGAATATAGTAGGCACTTAAGAAATACTTTTGATTAATTGAGTGTTTGGTTAAGTCCAATAAAAAACAAAATAAAACTATGCACATAAGGGACTAAATAGTTCTTCATTGAATAGGAACCAAAGTTGGGCTGCTCTCATATAATCAGGGGAATCTGACCAAATGATTTCTTAAAGTCCTGTCAGGCCCTCCCATCTATTTTTTCAACTACCTCCAAACACTCCTCAAATCTTATCTTTTTCTGCCTGTACCCCTTGCTCAGCTTGGGACCCTAAAGAGGTCCCAGCTTTTTAGCTTGTCTTTCTGGATCAGCTTCCTCCATCCCCTTGGCAAAGAATCATGGTGCTCTCAGGTAATGGAGGGGATGGCATCCTGGCTAAGGATATATGTGCAATATTAAGAGAGGAGCGAGAGGAAGGGCATTGGTGACCTGACTGGCATAAGAAGGGACTTTATTTATTTATTTGTTTGTTTGTTTGTTTGTTTATTTATTTATTTTGGGGTGAGGCAATTGGGGTTAAGTGACTTGCCCAGGGTCACACAGCTAGTAAGTGTCAAGTGTCTGAGGCTGGATTTGAACTCAGGTCCTCCTGACTCTGGAGCTCTATCCACTGTGCTACCTAGCTGCCCCTTGAAGGGACTTTAGAGATCATCTAGTCTAAGACCTTCATTTTCCAGATGAAATCAGGACCCAGAGAAATTTGCCCAGGGTCATAAAGCTACTTAATGACAGAACTGAGACTTAGGTGGAGTAGAAGGTATATGTGTGTGGTGTGATGAAGGACATTTTGAGGCCCAGCCTCTCCTTCAAAGAGCTACACCTCTCCCCCCCCCCCCCCCCCCCCCCCCCCCCCCCCCCCCCCCCCCCCCCGCCCACTTATCATGGACTCATTTCCTCCTTCCTAGCCTGAAAGGCATACCTTTAAATTCACTCCATTAAAATCCTTCTTCACAAGAGGAAGACTTGACTTACTCAATAATTCACTCCAAGGCATATGTGGCTCTAGACAACCCCATCTAACTGACTAGAACAGGACAACGCCATCTACCTAGACTCATCCCTGAGCTCCATAGGAATTCCTTCATAAAATCACCATCTTATTTATCTTCTTACCTCTAGGTAACATGGCCTCTCATCCATTACAGACCCCAAGAGGACCTTTCTCTTGGTCCCCATCCCAGTCCCAGCCAGTGTCTCCCTGCCCTTGGGAAGTGAAGACCTACCACAAAGGCCTGAGTGAATTTCAGAAGTAGAGGTCAGTGTGACCTGTGATTCCCAGGCCCAACAAACTTTGATTTTCAACTCTTCCCCACACTACTTGAAAACACAGATAACCATGGTGAATCAATAGGACCCAAGTCAGGAAGGAGACCTTCAATTACTCATTCATTTAACAAACATATACTATGTGCTAACTAAATATTAGGAACTATACTAGGTACTACAGATACAAGAATGTATAGAACACAAAGCAGGGTCCTTTTTTGGGTCATGGCACCCTTTGGCAATCTGGTGAAGCCCATGGAACCCTTCTCAGAATAAGGGTTTTAAATGCATACAATAAAATACATAGGATTACAAAGGAAACCAAAGTTAGTGAAAATAAAGATGGATGTGTGTGTATACATATTTTCCCCCCATCCACGTTTACATACCTCCTGAAATCTATCCCTGGATCCTTTGGCAGTCAGTGGACCCCAGGTTAAGAACCACAGACATAAATCCTGCCTTTATTGAGGTCAGGGAAAACAGGTTTACAAATAAGTATGATACACAAAAGAATGAAGTAATTGCAAAGGAGAGGTCCAAACAAAGAGTTGTGAGAAATATGATTAGCAAGAGATCATGCATCTTCAGCCTAGAGGAGTGGGAAATCAGAGAGAGTGAGACTTCATGAGAAGGCAGCACCTCTGCGGAAAGGACGTCAACAGATGAAAGTAGCAGGAGGTAAAGGAATGCTTTCTTGGCACAGGGGACAGCACAAGCAGGAGACAGTACATGAGGACTGTGGAAGAAGAAATGTCCAAATTAACTGAAGAGGAGGATCATGGCATAAAGCTAAAGTAGGCTACAGCCAGATCATGTGTGACTTTATACTTTTTGGGGTAGACAGTGTCAAGAAACTGAAATTGTTTGAGTAGATGTGTAATGACATGATCAGAACAGTGCATTAGGACTATTACAAGTCATGTGAAAGGAATACTTGGAAAGTGAATAAACCAACTGGATTCAATTCCATCTGGTGTTTTCTTCCTTTTCTCTGCTGATCAGTACTAGTGGCCAGCATCCTTGAGCTACTGGAGTAGAATCCCTTTCTGTATCTCTCATTTCTATTGCTACCAGTCTGGGAAGTTTCAGTTCCCCTAAATTTTTCTGCTCTAAAGTATGAATACCCCATCTCCGCATTTCCTTTCTCTTTATCACTTAGTACAAAGAATGGGTCTTTCCAAAAAAACTGCTTTAATAACTTGCCTTAGCTGTAATCCATCTAATCCAAACTCATTATTTTACAGGTGAAGAATTTAAGGCCCAGAAAAAATTCTAAGTAACTTGCCCAAAGTCACAGAAGTAGTTATTAGCGGAGCTGAGATTTGAACCCAGGTCTTCAGACTCCATGGTATGTGTTCTTTCCATGATGACAATCTGCTTCTAATGGAAAAAGGATATGATAAAAACAAACATCAGAATCATCAAGCTACAGGCCATGAAGATCTTATTCTAACCATAGATAATGATTAAAAAAAGAGATCTCTCCATGAGGCCAGCTGCTCACTTCTCTGACTCAGAAGAAAGGCCCTGAGCTCACCTAACCCCCTATCACATACAATATAAAACCCCAGACCAAGTTCTTTCCTGTTTCAAAGCTAAACCCCTTCTGGCCCCTCCTACCAACTTCCAGGGACAGGGTTTCCAGGCACCATAACTTGTCCAAATTTGCTGGGCTCCCCACTTCCCAAGTTCAGATTAATGAGTCAAGGCATATCTTCCTATCAAAGAAGCAGTCGCTGAAGATACTTCTGGTTAAAAATAAAGTGACTAAGATATCCATCTTGTTTGAACCAGACTCCATTACTGGGCTTATACCCCCTAAGGAAGCTATTGGGAAGAAGAAAGACCCCATATACACCAAAAATATTTTTAGTAGTAGTTTTTTGTGATAGCCAAGAATTGGAATCAAAGTAATTACCCATTGACTGAGGAATGGTTAAACAAATTATGCATACATGCATGTAATGGAATAATACTATGCTATAAGAAATTACATATCTGATGAATACAGCAAAGTATGGAATGATCTACGTGAACTGATACATAGTAAATTAAGCAGAACCAAGAAAACAGTATACACAGTAACTACAACGATGTAAATGGAAAGAACCACCACACACCCCAAAATCCAAAGTAAATGTAACATCAAGCAGTACTGAAGCAGGAATGAAGAGATGTGAAAGACACCTCTAGCCCACCCTTTATGGAGACAGTAGATCCACAGGTGTAACATACCCATTGTCCATATTATTTGTTATATGAGATGAGTCTCTGGGAGGGGGAGAGATACTGGAAATAACTATGATGATGAAAGGCAGAGGTGTCAAACACTCTGGCCTGGCCACATTGTAGTCCTCCCCAGTGCAGCTCAAAACAGATTAAAATATAATTGGGAAATATTTTTTAAAATAAATAAAAACACAATAAAACATAGATATTGTTAATATGTGGTTTTCTAAGTCAAGATGCTACCTGTAGGGATCCTTATATATGGTTTAGTGCTCCCATTTCTATTTGACACCATTGGTGTAAGAAATAGAAGACATCAATAAAAACTTTTTTTTCCAAAAAACAAATGGTTATCACTGTACCACAAGTAGATAGAGAACAAGCCTTGGAATCAAGAAGCCCTGAGTTCAAGTTTGGACACTGACACACAGAGCAAACTAATTAACCTCTTTGTGCCCCCAGGCAACTCTAAGACCATAAATTGCAAAGTAGGTGCCATTCTGCAACAGAAGAGGGTGTTTCCTTATAGCGAGTCCCCTGTAGAAATCACAGGTCTCATCCCCCAAGAGGAAGGTAGACAAACAGTTCTAACACAAGGGAGAGGGAGATAAATATAAAGGAGAATGATTTCTCTCTATCCTTAGTGTATGACTTTTTATTTGATACTATGTACAATTACATACAATTCTCAACAGCAGCAACATGGGGGGAGGCTATTTCTTCAGGGTACCCATATACCCTACTTTAGTTGGGAAACATTCCAGAGCATTTGGAGGTTTTGCCCCACCCAATCTCCCCCAATAACTTAATTTTTTATGTGCCCTGTAGCTATTTCTGGGGCCTTCAAGACACAATTCCTTCATGTGACCCTAGAAATTTGTCTTTAGAACCCTCCCACCCACTCCCTATTAATATCCTTCTCCTTCTTAGCTTTCCTGCCATCCCTAACACACCTCTGCTCAGGTACCCCGTGGCTTTAAGGCAACACTCCTCTATACCTTATCAAACTTGTTCTATATGAGTTGTTGTTGTTGTTGTTGTTTTGACATGGCTAATGTGGAAATTAATTTTTCTGGATTATACATGTTTTTCTTTCCTCATCAACAGCTTTTACTAAAATGGTAAAGAAATAACAGTAACTACAAAACATTTTCCCATTCCTTCTTCAAACTTGGGCCTTCTCTCCCATACAGACATTCAGAGTCCATGAGAAGAGTGAACAAAAACTTAGACTACAATAATAATTAGGCACTCATGTAGGGAACACATATCGCCAAAGCTACTCATGACTCTGGTACTGCAGGAACTCAATTTCCTTTTTCTCTTTAAGGTGTGATCATGCAGCACACTACATGATTGCCAGGGCTATCTCTCTTTCTTAACTTCCTACCAATTTTCTTCTGTGCTATCAGAAGTCCTCTTGCCTCAAGTGATTACCTCTCTGTAATTGTGCCTGTCTGGAATTTGTTTTCTTTTTTCTTTTTAATTGTTCAATTGAAGGGGGGCAGTAGGAGGGAGAGATAATAAATATTTATAAAAACAGATACATTAATAATTTTTTTAAAAAAGGTCTTCTCAGTCAGAATTTTTCCAAGAACTTATTTAGACTATGGAATGATTGCAGAGTTAGTCTTCTGGGATGATTTGCATTTCAACAGGGGACAGACAATCTGCTAAATAATCAATCACCAGGGTCTGACTGGAGTTGTGACTTTGATGATATTCCAATTTCCTGTTACAAGACAACCTCATCTCCACTGTGGAAGGAACAAAAGGAATTGTGTTTGAATAGTAGTATGAGAGATCCATGCATGAAATAAGTAAGAACTTCCTTGTGGTGAAAGTTATTAAGCACTGAAATGATCACTGATAAAGATAATTTCTTGATAAAACTTTGAAAGAGGATTAGGTCCTCGTAGGTGGTATGGAGTGTAGTATATTGATTTAGATGGTAAGGGAATGGTTCAGTCTCTGAGAAAGTACCTTTTCTCTCTGCCAAAGCCAACCCTTCAACTCATGCGCTTGACTCTTATCTTCTCCTCTCTCCTCTAGAAGCTTGTCTCTGCATCAACGTGCCTGTTTATCCAACTGAATCTCTCTCTCCCCAACCTCACTTTCAAATTCTCCTATCTAGCCACTCTTCTACTGTATTTGAATCAAGGTCTACCCCAGACTTAATAAGCCTTCACTACTACCTCAACCTAAAATCACATATCCTTTCCTTTCATTGCCCGATTCTTAGGAAAAACCATCTATACTTGTCTCTATTTCCTTTCTTACTCACATCTCAAACCCTTACAGCCCTACACTTGACTTAACATGCTTTCTCCAAAGCTACCAATAATCTATTTTTTTGTTTGGTTGGTTTTTTTAATCTGATTTTTTTATTGATACTTTCTGTTTTTATATCACAGTCATTTCTGAGTATATCCCATATTTGACCTTACATACTTACTTCATAACTAAAGTCCCCCACTTCTGTAAAGAAGGGACAGTGGTAAATTTCCTTAACTCTTCTCGAGGGCCAAGCTTACTCATAATTTCACAGCCTTGGTTATGTTTCTGTTCAAATTGTTGTAGTCCTTTTGTATATTGTTTTCCTGGTTCTGATGACTTCATTCTGTGACAGTTAATATGTCTTCCTATGGATCTTATAATTGTTCCTTTTTTCATTTCTTGTATCATAGCAATATTCCATTACGTTAACACGCACAATTTTTTTTAGCCATTCTCCAATCGATGGACATCTATTTTGTTTCCACTTCCTTGATACTGCACAAAGTGTCCCCACAAATATTTTAGTGTATAGGGGAGTTAATAGTCTCTTAATTGCTAAATCTGATGGCCTTTCCTCAGTCAACCTTCTTCGCCTTATCTCTGCAGCTTTTGGCCTTGCTGATTAGCAAGGATGTTTAGCTGATTAGCTGATTCTTGCATACTCTTTCTTCCCTGGGCTTTCATGACATTGTTCTTTCTTTGTTCTCCTCTTGCCTGTCTGACTACTCCTTGGCTTCCTTAGCTGACATCATACAGGTCTCACCCACTAATCGTGTGTTTTCTCAAGGCTTCATTAGGGGGCCACCTTCTCTTCTTTATATACTCTGTGGATGATCTCATCCATTCCCACGGATTCAATTATCATCACTATGCAGGTGACTGTCAAATCTATCTCACCAGCTAGAAGAAAAACTAGGGTAAGATGACAGGGACTTTGCCCCAGGGCACTGAATTTCGAGGGCATTGACAACATTAACAATACTTCCACTTTTATCCCATCCTGCTTCCTCCTCCCTTTCCATCGTCATCCCACTTGTCACTTCTTCACTCTCTGTTCTCTCCCCATCCCACCCCCCTAAATGCGAGTGTTTTTCCTGCTACTTGTCCTAAGCATGTACTAGATACAGCCCTAAATCCTGCCCTTATTTCTCTCCTGAGTTTTGGTCCTGCCCAACTTCCTGCTAGACATTTCAACTGACTGGACTTGTCTTGAAAGCATCTCAAATTGAACATATTTATTTATTTGTTTGTTTTTTTTTAAATGAGGCAATCGGGGTTAAGTGACTTGCCCAAGGTCACACAGCTAGTACGTGTCAAGTGTCTGGTCTGAGGCCGGATTTGAACTCAGGTCCTCCTGACTTCAACGCCGGTGCTCTATCCACTGCGCCACCTAGCTGCCCCTCAAATTGAACATATTTAAAACAAAATTTATCACCCCCTTCTTTAAACTTCCTTATTTCTGCTGAGGGTGTCACAATCCTTCCGGTCAACCAGATTCACAATCTCAAAATCATATTTCACTGTTTCTTGTCCTTAACCTCTCATATCCAAACAACTGCCAACTTTTGTGAATTATACTTCCACAATATCTTTTGCAACCACACCCTTCTCTCTCACACTATTCCCCACCCTCATTCAGGCCACACCACTTTTCTCCTGTACTATCACAATAGCATTGGTCTCCAAATTTCTAGTCTGTCCTCTAATCTACCCCCCACATAGCTTTTAAGATAATCTTTCTAAATAAAACACACATCTGACTGCTCAACAACCTTCAGTCTCAAAGATAAAATTCTGATTCTGAAGCTTGGGTATTTATAAAAGTCTTTTATAGCCTACCTTTCCAGACTCATTCACATGACTCCCCTACTACATGCTCTGCTTTTCCCTGACCTTCACGTTCTATCTCACCAGTTGTCTCGCATGTCCAGAATGCATTCTCTCCTCACCTCCATGTCTTAGAAGCCTTAGTTTTCTCCAAGGCTCACTACAGGCCCCAAGGCCTAAGGAGTTTGCAGAGCAACCTGGTTGATGATGCATTCCCATACTCCAAATTACACTGTATTTACTATCACCACTAGGTTGTGCTGTTGGAGTGTACAACTGCCTGGCCAGGCCTTTAAATCTGAGTCAAAAGTCATTATGGCTCCCAGGCTTTTATACCACCTAAAGCAGAGGTTCTTAACTCTGCTGCGAGTGTCATGGACCCTTTTAGCAGGCTGGTGAATTCTATAGACCCCTTCTTAAAATAATGTTTTGAAATGCATAAAATAAAATACATAGGATTGCAAAAGAAACCAATTATATTAAAATACATTCTGTAGACAGCAAAACTGCGATCACATGCAGTCTAGTGGTGGGGCTAATAACTATAGTAATTTCAAAGTAATGATGAGCATAAATGCTATTTCAAGACATCTGCAACAACTGTAATATGATATGAAAATATCTGTGATTTTTATTGGTGACAAAGTACCAGGCACTATCACAATATTATCATGGTTATTTGCCCACATTTATAATTGGAGGAAAAGATTTCACTTAGAGGTTAGTGAAAATTAAAAATATAAATATTCCCCATCCAAGTTCACCAGAGCCCTCAAATCTACCTATGGACATGGATCCCAGGTTTGAAAAAAAAAAAAAAGCAAAACCCTGATCTGGAGATACGCATGCATATTAGTCTCTTAGCTTATATACTCACTACATTCTTTCACATGTCAATCAAAAGCTTCTGCCCTTTTAAAGGTCATTCTCTTAGTAAGCAGTTTAATTATATTAAATAAGTGGGCAGTAAAAGCAGAAGGATTGCTTCAATGTAACACCAGTTTCATTAACTCCCAGATCCAATTCTCCCTGCTTTTCTCTCCACTCTCCCCACCCCCCATCAAAGGAAAATACTCACTTGGGGCAGCCTTTCTTTTCCCATCAGTGGCAGCCTCTCTAGTCAGGGAGGGTCTAGATCATAGGACCACAGGAAGTGAGTATAAGACTACAAACATTCCAGCTCTCATGCTACAGCTTGGGACACAGGGAAAAACAATCCAATCTCAAAATCAGGACAGCATCTTGAAGTCTGGAAATCCCCTTTCACTCTCTGGAATTTCATCTGCTGCTTCCTTCCTGAGCGCAACCTGAAGCCTCCTCTCACTCTCACTGTGGTCATTTTAGCTACTGCCCTCTGCTGCCAGAGAACTTGTCTATCCTAGAAGCCTAGCCTTTATCTGGGAAGCGTAAATGTTTACTTTTTCCTGAGGCAGGGAGGCCAACGTGGCTGCTGCCTTTTGTTCCCTCACTTCCACCTTCAAAAATCTAGGGCAGTCACGTGCCTGACCTCTCACCACCCATCATATCTGTTATCCACATCAGTCTCTGAACCCAAAGGGCCAATGAATCTATATCAGTGTCACGAGGGGCTGCCCTTTTGCTTTTCTTTGTATCCCCAGAGCTTAGTATAGTGCTTGGCACAAAGGAGGAGCTTAATAAATGTTTATTGACTATTAACCATTTATTGTTGTTTAGTTGAATCCGACTCTTTGTGACCCCATTTGGGGTTTTCTTGGCAAAGATACTGGAGTAGTCTGATATATCCTTCTCCAGCTCATTTTACGAATGAGGAAACTGAGGCAAGCAGGGTTAAGTGACTTGCCCAGGGTCACATAGATAGTGTCTGAGGTCATATTTGAATTCAGGTCTGCTTGACTCCAGGCCCAGCTCTCTATCCACCTTGCCACCTAGCTGCCTATAGACCAATTAGGATATATATAAACTAGTTACCAAGCTGTGCTCAGAAAAGGGAATAGGAAGGCAGAAGTCATCTAGAATAAAGTCTCAGCTTCCATGGTGCTTCTACTGTAACTTTCCATTGCTGCTCCTGGTGGGGTTGAGAGGGAAAGAAAAATCCCCTTCCCCACTCCCTGCCCTTGGCTGCATTCTTCCTGCACCATGGTCTGGAGAACCAAAAGAAAGAGCTTGCTCTTACTAACCAAACTATTCTCTGGCAACAATTTGTCCATCCCCCTTTCTCCTTCCCTGCCCCTCGAAATCACCAATCATCTTCAGGTCAATCCCAGTCTGGAGCCCAAACAGAGGAGCTCACTGTCCCTCTGCAAGTGGCATGGAAGTGCCTCCTGCTGCTAAATGCTTAACACACGGCTCTCCAAAAGAGAGCCACTTGACACATTTTAAAGTTTAATCAGCATTATTTACAATTCCTCCATCATTTTCTTAAGTCTAGAGTAGACAATCAATTAAACAATAAACCAAGTCCTAATTTGTAGCATTTGCCAATTTCTGAGGTGTAAATACTCACTGAAATTTTAGCAGCTCCTTTTCATAAACCAGTGAGAGTTGGCTCCAGGACGCCTCTGGTCTAGGTCCTATAATCTCATCAAGTTGATTAAGGGATTTGTCAGGCTGAGCGGAAGTTCTCCTGATCAACCTCCCATTACATCACAATGTCATTGTATTAGCAAGGGGACTAACGTGTTTCTTCTGTATCATTTATTTGTGTAAATGTGTCCCTAAAACCCATATAGAATGTAAGCTCTTTGAGGGCAGGGATTTTTTTTTCTATCCCCAGTGCTAGCACAGAGCACATAATAAGGGCTCAATGAATGTTTATTTTATTGTTGAATCAAGGGATCTATGACTTTAGAAGGAATTTTCTGATTAGATACATGTAATACCTTGGCACTGGCAATTGAGAGAGGCAAGAAAGATATTTAAAGGCAGCCCTGCCTAGAAGCAAGGGGAGAGACCAAAGACTATCCAATGGTCTTTGGAGGGCCAAGGTCTGGACTAGGCAAGGCTGAGGGGTGGCAGGATTTTCCCCAAAGGTAGTTCTTTTGGACAGGATCCCCTACTTTGATGACTCAGTCTGGTGGAGGAGCTCAGCTAACTGCCTTGACTGAGGTCCGGCTAGCTGGCCAGCTTCCCTGGACTTGGATGGGGGATGGGGTCAGGGAGAATGCAAAAAGAAAGGGGAGGTTTGGGGGGTGGGGTGGAGGCTTGGGACTGCTGCATGGGAGACCATTCTGGATCCTTCAGGGTTAGAGCAGAAGGGCATCCCAGGAGTTGTGGAAGTAGGGACCTAGAAGGATTGGATGGTGGTAATGGGGAGGGGGGGTGTCACAGAGCCAGAGGTGGGAGGAGATGGGGGCAGAGACCAGATGCAGGGGAGGAGCTGGGGAGGCGGAGGTTGGGGGGTAAGGGGGAGGAGAGGCAGACGGCTACGGGAGCTTAAGAGGAGAGGTCCAGCAGCCCCAGCTAAGAAGAAGGTGAAATGGGAGAGAGGTGGAGGGGAGGGAAATGGGGGATGGACAGGAGGGTGAGGAGATAGAAGGGTGGGTCAGAGGTGAAGGGAAAAGCAGACACCAGAGTCCAATTTCATATCCCTCTTATCCTGGAGGTTGTACCAAGCTTTGGAACTTTTCTAAGGGCTGAAAGGTCTGCCACAGTGGAGCTAGTAGGGGACTGGGGCAATGGAAGTCTGATTCGCAAAGATCCAAAACTGAATCAGAAACTGGGAGGAGGAAGAAGGAAGCAGAAGTGATTTGGCCCCAGAAAAGAGAGGGGCAAAGGGAGGCCTTTTAGGGGAAGTGGGGAAGCCATTAAACTAGAAAAGATTCAATGTCAGTTAGGAATCAGGAGGCTCTGCAAGGGGAAGAGGAGAGGAATCTTGTTGAGACGAAGATTTTTTCGGTTGGACAGCCTAGCAACAGGCCCTAGCACGCTGAGGGTTAAGCCCCGGCTCAGCCCTTCTGGATGTTTACGTCCTCCCCAAAATATTCATCTTCAATGTGTGCTTCTCCTCGTCTCCCTCTATTCCCCTCCCTCCCCCACAGGCCTTCTCAGTGCCTGGGGCTGGGGGTGGAGCTAAGACCTCCGGGGAGCTGGGAAAGTCCAGGGCACTGACCTGACCCCAGAGGAGGGAGCAAGACAAGAGTGAGAGGAGGGGAAGGGTTGGGGAGAGAGACTGAGCTGAGAAGAGGGGTGGCATGGTAGGAGTAGAGTGGGAGGGAAGATGGAATCTGTTTCCAGGGCCTCAGGAACCTGGCCCTGGCTATGACATCATTTCCAATTTCTGGGAAACTTCAGAGAGCAGCTCTTCCCAATCTGCCCTGCTGGGGAAGGGAGCCACAAAAGGGAAAGCTAGGAAGGGAAAGGAAAGAGGGCCAGCTGGACAGCATCCAGGGACCCAAAATGTCACTTTCAGGAAGGACTCACAGGAGGTAGCTCTTTCTGCACAGCCCCCCACCCTCACCCTAGCCCTAGGCTTTGATGGGCCCAGAACAGGGAGGTCTGCAGCTAACCTAGGGAAGCAAACAGGTGAGGAGGGGCACCCCAGGCTGGTGCTAAAAAGACCTAACTAAATGTCCTGTACTATCTGGCAGCCCTGACCTCTTTTCTTCCATATAACTCTCTCCTGTTCCCCTGCTGTGGCTCAGGTGGTCCTAGGAAATGAGCTGCAAAGGGCCTCAGAGATCAATCACCCCTCCTTATTTTATTAATTAGGAATCTAAGATCCAAGCGAAACAACTTGCCAGGCTTATCCAGTGATCGGTGTTGAGTTTGAAACCCAAGTCCTCTGCCTACAAATCCAGGACACTACCCACTGTGCCACATTGCTCTTTGTCCTATCAAAGGTGCCCTGGTTGTTCATTTTATTCTGCTTTCACTTTCCTGATTTCACCTGATTAGGGTAGGGTGCATTTGTCCCCTACTCCCCACTCCCCTAGGGATGGCCCCATCTAAGGCCACATCAACCCCTCCTCCCCAATCCATCACACTTTCCCCTCCTGAGCCCTGCTTCTCCCCATACAACTAAAGGACAAACCAGGACCATCAGGGAACCATGATATTGAGTCTGGGTGACAGAAGTGACGAGGATGGAGCAGGGAGTGGACGGAGCGTGGAGAGTGTGGGATTTGGCAGGGGATCTTGCTCTCATGGACACAGCCTCATTCCTTGCAGGTGCCTGGCCCGGGTCCAGTTGACTGTGATGTGCAGAAAAGAAATGAGGCAGTTGCTGTTGCCCCTTGCCCTGTGGCTCGGTGCTCTGGGGCCCACAGGAACCAGGGGAGATGAGCTCTCGGTGCCACAACAACGAGGCTTGCAGGTGGCTTTGGAGAAGTTCCACAATCACCCACCTGTGCAGTGGGCATTCAAGGAGATTGGTGTGGACAGTGCCAGTGACATGGTGGGTGGGAGGGATCCCCCTGGCGGAAATGAGGGTGGGGAGGGGTATATTGAGAGAAGAATTCTGCACTTTGCTCTGGGAGGGGTACATTCTGGGGTTTCACCCCAGAGATATCAGTATTTCTCCAGCAGGCAAGTTTTTTGTTGTTTTTGTTTTTATGCAAAGGCATTTAATGAAATAACATAGTAAAAAAAAAGTCACAATAGAACATTACTCCACCCAAACCTAAAGCACACTTTCTCCCAGATGCACAAGCTCTCCATGGAAGTAGTGAGCACACATGTAGAAGACATATGGCCAGGGCCCATGTTTGACCTGCTCTCTATTGATGTAGGACCACTGACACCTGCTGATAGCATCAGATGCCCAGCAGGCAAGTTTGAAAATGATGTGGAATTTATAAGCCTCCAGATGCCAAGTAAAGACTATAGGGCCACAGATTCAGAGCTCGAAGGGACCTCAGAGGTAATTTAGTCCAATGGTCTCATTTTATAGATAAGAAAATCGAGGCCTACAGAGATAGTCTCTTGCCTAAGATCACAGATAGTAAGTGGCAGAGCCAGGATTTGAGCCCAGGTTCTCCGGTTACAAATCCAGTACTCTTTCCATTGTACCACACTTGGATGTCATCTTCTCACAGCCATCTCACTTGAGGGAAAGCAATGCAATATAGTTGGGCAGGTAGGTAGCATAGTGGATAGAGTGCCAGGCTGAAGTCAGGAAGACCTGAGTTCAAATCCAGTCTCAGACACTTCCTAGCTGTGTGACCCAGGACAAGCTACTTAACTCTGTTTGCCTTAGTTTCCTCATCTGTAAAATGAACTGGAGAGGGAAATGGCAAACCACTCTAATATCTTTGCCAAGAAAACCCCAAAAGAGGTCATGAAGAGTCAAATATGACTGAAAAATAACTAAACAACAATGCAATATAATACCATATAAAGCAGTACAATGCAACCAACATTTATTAAATACCTACTGTTTACAGAACACTGTGCTAGGCATTGGGGGGGAAGGTAAGATAATTCCTCTAACCCCAATGAAACCTATACGTCACAAGATAAAGGAGGTGAGCAGGTCACAGGTAGGAACTGCTGATTCACCTTTGTGTCTAACCTCAGTCATTCCCTGGAGGGACATTTGTTCGACTGGAGTTTGGGCTCCAGCAGACCAGCTGCCGAAAGCAGGACTGGAAGAATGTTGACTGTAAGGTGAAGCCCAACGGGGTGAGTGAAGGTCAAGCATCCTTTCTGCTATATGTGTGTGTTTGTGTGGTTTCAGGGACATAGATCTGAGTCTCTATGTACTTCTGTGTATATAATGAAAAATGTCTGTATAGAATGGGACATAGGGATGTATGCATGCCTGCATATATAATGGATCCCTATGTCAAAATGTGTGTACATATGATATATCTCTGTCTATATATTGGCACATGCCTTTGAGTATATTGTGTATACACAGTGGAACATGTGTCTTTTGTGTGTGCCTAGAAATGTAACTGGACATGCACTGTACATGTGTAATAGAGAAATGGCAGCTGGGGGGGTGTCTACATAACAGAACATGTGCCTCTTTTATGTATGTCAGAGAGACAGCATGAGACGGGTAGCTATGGGAAAATGTGGCTCTTGTGTGTGTACTAATATGGCTTGGGGGAGAGAAAGGATAATGAGAAGCCTTGAGAAGACAGACCTCATCTTGGAAGGCAGCAGCAATGGCAGGGTATTGGGAGTGAGTGGGGAGGGGTGGACTGACAGCTTTGTGGAACTTGAGCCACTTTCAAATGAGTCCCTTACATGGGTGAGGGTAGGAATGAGCTTGGTCTTCAAGAGTAAAGGTGAGGAGATAGGACTGTTTATATGGGGATTGATTCAGGGGTGGTATCAGACAGGTCCTGGGTGAGGCCTTGCTTTGAGGTTGATTGTACCTACCACTTCTAGGTTTCAAGACACTGGAGAGGCTCAAGGCAAAGGATTTGGTTTGGGACCTCCCAGGACTACTGAATTCCCTAGGCTTCTCTGATCCTTAAAAAAATGAGGATGCCCCAGATCTAGCCCACTGGGTGAACCTGAGATTGAACTAATACAGACCTAAACACCAGAGCTTAACCAGAACCAATCCAGTTGAGGGGAAGCTATGTGATACAGTGAGTGGAGGGAACATTGGACCAGATATCTATAGGCTTCAATTCTAGGCATAGCTCTGCTACTGAGTCCCTCAGTAACCACAGGCAAATCACTTAACCTCTCGAGGGCTCCATTTCTGGATATATAAAATGAGGGGGTTGGATTAAATCATTTCTAAGATCTCAAAGTCCTAGGATGGAGGAGGTTCTGGGCATAAGTGTTCCACTTATTCTTGACGAACCTGTCATCAGTAACCCCACCTTCCCCTCAACCTCTGGTACCCTTTAGCCAAGAAATAAGCCTGTTGACTCCAGCGCTCTCCATCTCAGCACAGCTGACCCCATATAACCCCTACCCCACCCCAAAGCCACAACAGTTGTAACCTGCCATATCCTCAGTGTACCCCATTCCTTGGTACTAAACCATCTATTATATGGCCAATGTGGCATTGGAGGAAGAGTGCTGGATTGGAAGTCAGAGGACCTGAGTTTGACTTCCACCTCTGCCACTTACTACTAGAGTGATCTTGAGCAAGTCACTTCTTCTTTGGGCCTCAGTTTCCTCATCTGTAAAATGAAGAGGTGGGACTAGATGATCTCTAAGATCCCTTCCAGCTAATAGATCTATGATCCTTTGACTTATGCTCCTATGATCCCAGCGGAAGAGGAACTGTTTGGCTTGCATCAAGTTTGATTCCAAGGATCGGATCCTGAAACAGATGATTCACTGCCCCATTGGGGCCCCATCAGGTCAAAGGGTAAGCCTTGATGCTTTGTTTCTAAGGCAGGGGTAAGGGGAAGAGTGGAGGGCAAAAGAGAAGAGAAAAACCGTGAAGCCTGAATAGCGCAGAGGAAGGTAAGTGGGTGAAGAGGCATCTTGGTCAGCATCCATCATTCCCTGAGAGGAAATGGTTCAGGTATATGAAGGGGCAATAAGTAGGAGGGAGAGTGAAACAAGGTCAAGTTAAGGACTTGGCAGAATAGGAGGAAGTGGTTTCCTTTTTGGCCTTGTGGCCGAGACCAAGCCTAAATGTATCTATAGGATCCTGAGGGGCAGCAGGAAAGCCAGTGCACTCAAGTGGAGAGAGCTGGTGAAGAACCCCACAGCTATTACTTCCCTGGCACATATGCCTTTTCTAGGAGTCACAGCTCTGGCTGAATACTAAGCAGGTAAGAACCTCTTGGAAGGAAGAAAAAAAAAACTGCACACTGGGCAGGGTTAGCCAGGGAGGATGGGTTTAAGAATTGAGAATAAGGCTAGGATTTGGATCCAACACTGAGAATGGGGTCAAGATAGAGAACAGAGTTAGGCATTGGGGAAGTCAGTATTAGGGATGGGAACGGCTTTAAGAATTTCTTTTTCATCTTTAACTCAAGAATTTCTCTTCTTTCTAGGGTGCTACCTTGCTTTCAATCCCTTTGAAAACCAGTGAATAGTGCCAAGGCTCCCCACCCACCAGGGCAAGCACCCCCTATCCCTCCTCACCTGGGAGAAGAGGCCAGGCCCTACTAATGCTGTACACAGCACCCTTGCTTCTTCCTGTCTCAAATAAAACTTCCAGAAACTTTGCACTCCCTATTTCATGTGTTTACTTCCTCTCACAGTGCCTTACAAGTAAATAAGCATCATGCAAAAGGGGTCAGGACTTAGATGAATGGCAATGACCAATCTCCATTCCTTGGGACTGATGATAAAACATCTCTCAGTAGTGAGGTGGTGGACTATGGAGGGAGGAATGTTGTGTATGCTGTCAGATGGCTTGCTTTGTCAGTTGGTTTTGATGAATTGTCTTTCTTTGTTACAAGGGAAGATTCTCAAAGGGGTGGGAATAATATATTAGGAAATGACTGCACTTTAAAAAAGCATCAATAAACTTTTAAAAGGGGGTCAAACTTGGTTGCTGCCACTATGGTTACTTCACTAACTTACCCTTACACCTACCCCAATCCTACCCACAAATGGAGCAAAGATCAGACCAGAACTCAAGGAAGGAGCAATGGAATTTCCAGAACAAGGGAGGTGATAATGTCCTGATCACACCACATCTGGAGTTCTGTCTTCAGATTTGAGTATCATGTCTTAAGAGGGACACTGGCGAGATGGAGTATGTTCTAAGGAGGACAACCAGGATGGTGAAGAGGCACAAAATTATTCCACATGAGAGTGTTTAGCCTACAAAAGTGAAGGCCTGAGAGGGCTAGGGTAGAAAGAACATAATAACTGTCTTCAAATATTTCAAGGGTTGTCATGTGGAATGAATATTAGATTCTGCACTCCTATAGAAAGCAGAATTAGAAGCAAAGTGGGGAAGTTGCAGTGAGATAGATTTAAGTTCAATGTGGAGAAAAATTTCCTCAGAGTTGTTCGAATCTGAGCCAAGATGGCTACCTGAAGAGAGGTAGACCCTACAACTCCACCATACCTACTCCAAAAAAACCCTGAAATTCATACCATATTGAATGATTATGAAATTCAATAATTCAATAAGAAACTATAGTAAGTGAATACTTCCACTTGACTCTGGAGAAAAAAATTAATCAGAGATCTGAGGTCAATAGGAAAGAAGGCAGCCTTGGAAAGTGAGTGGAGGGCTCCCCTTAGAAAACCCCCAGGTAGTCAGAAATTCCCAGAGTGGGGACCTTGGAAGCCCTAGGGAATGACAGGGAGCAGTACAGAGCAGCTGCACTCAGGCCTGCATACCCTAGGCTCAGGGTGTCTGTGATGCTTAATAGTGTCCTGAGAGGTCAGAGAGGTCAAGTGATCTGAATCTCAAATATATAGGTGGGTAAAAAGGGGTTAGCCCTGGGTTAGCATAAGAACCTAGTGGTCCCAAAAGGGTGAGACCAAGCAGGGCCAACCACCCCATCCAACTATGTAGCAGGGGGCACAGCCTGGCTTTAGCTTAAAGCCCCAATTCTAGAACTAAAGCTGGAGGTAAGTAAATCTAAGAAAACATAAGACCAGTATCAAAAATTATTGTAGATATAGAGATCTCCCAAAAGAAGAAGTAATTCCATAAAAAACTACAAGTAGTAACTTAAAGGAAAAAAATGGATTTCCACAAAGACTACATGACTATGTATAAGAAATGAAGCAAGAAATAAGAAATGAACTGAAAACTTTGGAGGAAAGAATTGGAAGGAGAATAAAAACTTTGGATAAACCTTATCCAAGAAATGGACTTCCTGAAAACCAGCACAGACTAGACAGAAATCAGTGAATTCAGGAGACAGTAAGAAATACTAGAAAAAACCAAAATATTGAAAAAACAGATGATAATGTAAGATATCAGATTTTTAAAAAAGACTTGGGGGGAAAAAGGTCAATGAGAAATAATTTAAGAGTCATTAGACTTCTTGAAAATCATGAGGGGAAAAAAAGCCTGTATACTATATTTCAAGAAATCATGAATGAAAACTGCACAAATCTATTAGAATTAGAAGACAAGTGAAGATAGAAAGAATCCATCAATCACCTCCTGGAAAAAAGGAAAAGTCCCATAAATGTCATAACTAAAATCCAGAGCTCCCCCATCAGAGAAAAAAAATATTGCAAGTATCAAGAAGAAAGTATTTCAAGTACCAAGGAACTACTGTAAAGATCACACAAGATCTAGCAGCTTCTACTATAAATGAGAGGACATGTTGGAATACAGTCTTCCAAATGGGAAAAGATTAAGGGTTATAATCAACAATAGCTTACCCTCAAAGCTGAGTATAATTTTATAGAGGAAAAAAACATGTACCTTTAGGGATCATCTCTTTATTTGTACTTGAATCTTTAGCTTCTAACACAGGGACTGGAACATGGTACATGCTTAGTAAATACTTATTGATTGATTAATTAAATAGAGGATGTTCAAGCATTTTGGCCTCTAGACCAACCCTCACAACTATCATCCAGGAAAGCAACTCCACCCACAGAGCAGGCAAGCCAGCCTCACTAAAGTTGTAATTCCCCTTTGGGGAAAGAAAAGAGGTAGCAAGTGCCAGACACGTCAAACCACCACTATCTCCCTTAATGGAGATAGCCCAGAACCCTAGCCCAAGAATCATGGGAATAACAGTATCCCCCAGGCTACCAGCTCTGTTTTCAGTCCAATCCACACAGCCATCATTGAAGAGAGAGAGCATTTGAAGAAGAGTCCTACCTACCTCATCACCACCAGCCACAAACTACTGACCAACTGCCATCCATAAGCTGAGGACACAGGAGTCCTAGGAGTTGCGGCACATCCTCCAAACCACAATGGGTGTTGCTTAAGGCCCAGCCCTCACAGCCATTGTCCTGGGAAGCAATGACTGAGGACATTCCTACTAATGGCTACTCACCTATCACTCATACAGTAGGCAAGCCAGTCTATCTGAAGCTACGAGGGAGATGCGGGAGGCAGCACGTGCCAGGCAAGTCAAACAGCCAACACCAACTTGACCACCACATCCCCTCAGACCCTGAGGGAGGCAGTCCAGGACCCTGAACCCAAAAGTCTTAGGAACAGTCATATTTCCTGATAAAAGAGTAATCAGTCCCCTTTAGAAGACGACTAAGAAATAAAACAAGACAGAACTATACAAAAGAGTAGACGATTATGCTCTCTGCTCTCCAGGTTAGCTACTATAAGTTTTAGCAGAATGTCAGAGATGAAGGTGACCAAGGAGGGACTATACTGGTCTCAGAAGAGTTCATGGAGATGTGACTTTAGCTAGGCTTTGATAGGCAATTCTGGGAAAATCTTAGAAACTGAAGGCTCTGCCCTCCACCTCCATCCCTCATCCTCTCTGTCCCAAGATGGGTAACCCTCTGTCTCAGGATCTTTAGAAGGTATGGCCAATTCCCCCATGCCCCTCAGGTCTGTGTTATAGGCAAGCAAGCATCAGATAGGTGTAAGGTACCAATAAGGCAAAGTAGCTTCTTACCAGGATAGTATATTTTATTTTTCAAGAAGTCTTTACATACCTAGCCAGTTCTCCATCACAGCCCTCTAACTGGGGGCAGGGGGGGTAGGGGGGACAGAGAATCAACTTAGGTGCAAGTACTTGCTCTCCTGGCATCAGTCTTATGAGAGTGGGGGTGGGGAGGGGAGCATAGGACACTCAGGAAGAGGCCTAGAATTCTTGGTTCTCTATGAGCACTTATAGACAGAAAGGAAGAGGGTCAAGCATAACATCTCCACAAGAATAAGGATCTAGATTGAATTTTCCTTGAAAGTGTGTAGGAAACATAAATAAGAGGGACAAAACTAATTGGATACAAACTGTGGGGCCAGTAATGAGGTTTGTGATCGTATCTAGAGTTCTTCAAATCCTGGGGAACCTGGGAGACTCCCTTCTCCAGCCACTGCCCTCCCCAACATTGGGGATTGGCTGGGTTTAGAAGACAAAGGAAGTTGTGCCCCCACTGGCAGGTCTAAGGGCCTCCTCTGCTTGGGCCAGACTATCATCAGCTTTCTGACTCAGCTCTTGGCATTCTTGTATGGTGTCCTGGAATTGGCGGCATGCATCTTCCAGGATGGAGCTGCCCTGGGCCTGTGGTGGCTTCCAGTAGCTGGGCTCCACCCAGGGCTTAGCCTCAGAGGGGGGAAGCACAGAGACAGGCCCTGGGCTCTGGTGCAAGGATTTATCAAGGTCCCGGCACAGCTGGTAAAATTCACTGCCCTGACCCGACACTCGCTCCCCATCGATGACCTTTAGGCCAGGCAACAGCTCCCCTACTGCAGCCCTGTAGGAAGGGCTGTTGCAGAGTGGGTTGCTAAGCCGTGCCAAGGGGTCCTGAAGCCTCAGATGTTCCAGCCGCTGAAGTCCTGCCAGGCATTGCAATTGGCCCACCCCAGCCAGCAAGTTACCAGCCACATTGAGACTCTGCAGGCTCTCACAAGAGGCCAGTGGTTCTAGCCCTGTCAAGCGGTTGGCAGACACATTGAGTACAGTTAGCTGCCGAAGAGAGGCCAGGGGTCCCAGGTGGGTGAGGGTGTTACCAGACAAGTCCAACCACTCCAGCCCCAAACATTCACCTAGGCAGCCCAGGTCCACCAGTCCCAAACCACAAAGTTTCAGCAACAAGATGGATTCCAGGGAAAATTCACCTGACCAGGCTTTAAGCATCTGGGCTGTAATACGCACCCTATCACCCTCTCCAGCTCTCTCCCCATGGGGCTCCATGAGAGGCAGGTGGCTATGGTCTGAAGCCTAAGAAGGCTTCAGTTGTCTGGAGTCTGGTTATCCAGGGATGGGTGGGTGAACTGGGGAAAGTGTTAGTCAATGGAGATCTGGCTTCATCCAAGGGTCAGCTCAGATAGTCACTCCTCACGTACACTGTCCCTTGCATCAACAATCAACTTGACGTAGGCCAAGTTCCAGGTCGTCTGTTTCAGGGTCCCTGGGGTAGGAAGACAATCAACATGTTATTGAACTCTACTACAGAAGCAACTTGGTGTGACAAAAAGAGCATTAGAGGTGAAGTCAGAAGTTGTGGTTTCAAAACTCAGTTCTGATGCTTGCACTGTGACCTTGGACAAACCACATCCTCTCTGGGCTTTGGTTCTTATCTGCAAAATGGAAAAGAAAACACCACCACTATCCACCTCACAGTTACTATGCATGGTTCAGGTTCTAAGTGCTACAAGCAGCTTTAGAAAATGGAGAGACCAATGTGGGTTGAAATAGTCCCTGTCTTGGCAGATATGATGGCACTATTTTGCAGGGAGGGATGTGTATCTGGGGAAGGATGTTTCAAGCTGGGAATAGATAGAAAATAGCATAAGCTAAGGGCAGAAGGAAAGAATGAATCATGGTATGGAGGGAAGAGATAGAAAAGAACCTGACCTGGCTGGAGGGAAGGATGTGCACTAAGGGGAAAGGGCTGGATAAATTCAAATAGCTCTACTAAAAGAGACAAATCCCAAGCTAGTCCTTCAATGCTGACTTAAGGCCCACATTCCCTACATACTTGGGCCATGCTCAGGCTGAGACACTCAGGCTGGGCCCAAACCCAGGAGTCCTAGCTCAGTACCAACCCCTTATCCTGGTGGCAAGTTGGATGTGCCTCAAAGGCACAGAAAGGAATCAGGAATGGCTTCTGAGGATGATGGCCGGGAGAATCCACTCACCCCACGCGTTTTCGAATCTGGTGATTTTCAATTGCAGCCACTTCCTAAGATATGCTGCTATTAATTACAACAGTTAGCACCTTGTAAGCAGACCAATCTCCATGGAAACCAGACCCTCTGCCAAGGCAACCAGCTCCTCCCATACCAGCAAGGAACATTTAAAGGGCTAGACACACCCAAGTGCCAGCACATAATTTCAGAGGCAAAGGTCTGGGAGGGATGTTAATGAATATTTCTATAATTCTCTTTCTTTCCCTCACTGACAGTACCACTGGCTTTGGCAAACACCCTTATTCTATGAATTCTTCTGCAAGACTCCACTAGCTGCCCTACTCCCCTTACCTAAATCATCTTGTAGCGCAAAACAACAACACAACTCAAATTAAACAAACCTAACCACTGTCTTCTGCACATATCTGTTTCTCTCTCCATTCCCACATCTAATCTAAACAAACATTTTTGTGTTTGGTCTTTCTAAAGGGCCACCTCTTCCATGAAGTCTTCCCAGATTCACTCTACTAGCTCTCAATATCCCTAAATGTAGTCCAATATTATTCATCAACACTGTGAAGAAAAAGTCAGTTACACTTTAAAAGAAAGCTAAAACATAAAATAAGTGATTTCTTTTAACTGAAGACACAAGCCACGCAAAACCAGTTTACCACTCTTCAGCTTTCGCCTCACTCTCTATACATTTTTGGATTCCTTGTGCCCTTGGAGTCATAGAAGCATTTGCCCTGGGAGGGATTTGAAAGCTCATTCAGCTCTGGCTTTCATTTTACCGAGGAGGAAGACGAGGCACTGGGAGATGAGGTGATACATTTAAGGTAATACAGCAGGTCAGTGGCAGAGGCAGACCTGGTCCAAAGCCCAGGTCTCCTACTGCAGGTCTGACCTGGCCAACAGTTTATGATGGTTCTTGAAAAAAGAATTGCTTCTCAGGAGGGTTTAACTAAGGGGCTTCAAGTCCTGTTGAAGGAGATAAATTCCATTATTTAGGCAAGAAATAGAGGTTAGCTAAATTTGAATCTAAGTAACTCCACCTTTGTTTTAAGTAACTACAGAGTAAATGGCTACGGTTTGCTGAGGAAGTACAAATACAGAACAGTGTTACAATAAAAGCAATACTCTCACAACATATACCACAAGCTAATTTTTTTCTTAAAAGGTAGTGAGACCAACTTTGAGGCTTGGTTGGCTCAGACTGTTGACATCACTGCACGATCAGCTAAATACAAAGCAGTTAGGAGGCTTTCCAGGGCATTCTGCTGCTTAATTGGTAGATCCAGATGGACAGCCCAGACAAGAGAGTTTCATTTTCCAAATCAACTTGAGATTGCCTATCTTTGTTGAATATGTTTCTCTTGCTGTGGCTAAACAAATCTCTCTCTCTCTCTCTTAATTTAACTGCTGAATGACGAATGAGAGTCTGATTTTGCTCCACATTTAACCTAAACTACCAGGGGACTGTCCTGAGTCAGACCTATCCCAGAACAGATGTGCATCTGACAAAACATCCTGTTCCAACAGATATTTCTTTGTGGCAGTTAATTCTCTGAACAATATGTCACCTATATCCTGTCTGTGCAAATGCCTTGTGAGCTGTAGTTGTCTCTACCATATATCATTTATGTCATTTTAAAGTAGATATTTCTTAACTGGGTTTGCCTTTTCTGTATTCTCATATATATCTGTACTTGTTAGTGCAGCCCATCAGAAAAAAACAATGCTCAAAACGTGCTTGACTCTTGGGAGTCCCTGACACCCTTTCAAGGAGTTCATGAGGTCAAAAGTGTTTTCATAATAATACTAAGATGTTTTCATTTCTGAATATCAATAGATGTAATCCTAATAAACAAAAGCTCTTTGGGGTGTCCTCAACAATTTAAAAAAGTATAGTGGGGTGTTAAGACAAAAAAGTTGAAAACCACTGGAACAAACATTTCCTTTGATTTGTTACTTTTCTGTACAAAAGAAGTCATATAGTAAAATCTAATTGAGCTTGTACACATGCTGTATTCATCAAATTTGCTTGGAAGTAAAAGTATATTTAGGCAACTATTTTCTTAGAGTTTTCCCTTTTGATTTTCACAACAGGCCTAAGTCTCAGGGGTTACTGTATGGCAAGCGGGCAGTGTACTGAATTTTAAATCGGGAAGTACTAGGATGAAGTCTTGCCTGACACCGTTGGGGATCACGGACAAATCACTTCTCTCTGAGCCTCAATTTCACATCTGTAAAATTGGGATAATAATACTCACCTTGAAAGACTGTTGCAAAACTCAACTGAGATATTATGGAAAGCACTTTGCAAAATATTGCATAAATATTATTGTTATTATGTGGACTATAGCAGAGAGGTATGGGAATCAATAAGCCCCTGGTTCTTACTCCTACATTAGCTGCTTACTAAGTAGTTAGGTCACAGTGCTATTAGGGCAGACAGAGTCATAGATTCAATTCTTGAATGGGCAAATTAGTTTTTGCAGAGTCAAAATTGTACCTCGACAGATCAGTACAAATTCATCTACCCTGAAAAAAACTCAAAAGTACACATGCATTGATAGTTGAACAATAGCAATATCTCTGTATACAAAAAGCAGTATTCTAGAAGGATCTGGGTAGCTGTATGACAAAGGGTAGAAGACTCCCACTTTCTGAGCCTGTTTTACTTTCTGTACAATGGAGACAATGACCCTTGCAGAGGTTAGTTTTTTCACACAAGATAATCCAAGGAAAAACAATATGATGAAAAGTAAAAGTCTTCTAAACCTCTTGCTTCTTCATCTACAAATGAATGGATTCTCTCTTAAGTCCCTTCTCTCTATTAGGGAACTTATACTCAGGAAACTGGTGTAGTTTCCTCACTGAGTCTCAATTTTCCTACCTGAAGCATAGGGCCCACAATGGTATTTCTGTTCTGCCAGAAAGGGGAACAACCAACACCTGGAAGAATGAGCCAAGATCCTCTCATAACTACCTGAGATAAAGGCAACTACTCTGCAGAGCCGTGTGGGGGGTGGGGGGAGTGGGGAGATTTCTATGCCCCATCCCATATTCCTAGGAAATACTTCAGCCCTTTTCCTTTGACAGGATTTCCTTCCTCAACAGCCACCCACAGGGAGGCAAGCCAGCCTAGCTGAAGCAGCAATGCACCCTGAGTGAGAGACAGGAGGAGGCATGTTCCAGGCCAGGGGTGGGGAAGCTGAGACCTCAAAGCCACGTGTTCTCAAGGCCGCAGGTTCCCCACCTCTGTTCGAGGCAAACAAATCATCACCACTACCTTAACCATTATCTCCACTCAAACCCTGATGGAAACAGCAAAGACCCTAAACCCAAAAGCATTGGGAGTAGCAGTGTCTCCCAGGTCACTAGACCTGTTTCCAGACCAAGCCCTCCAGCCACTATTGAGGGGAAAAATCATTGTGGAAAAGAGGCCCACCGATAATAACAACAGCTGCTGGTTAGCTGTTACCCAAAGGGAGGATAAGTCCTGGGTGTGGATACAACCCTCAAACTATTGTGGGTTCTGCTTCTGGCCCAGCCACCACAGCCATCGTGAGAGACAAGGCTAACCATCCCCAAATGCTACTACCATCTCCCTCAGAACCTGAAGGACACTAGAAGACTCTGAATCCAAGAGGTTTTGGAATAGAAATGCTTTTAGTCTAGAAGTGGATATGATTTTATCAGTGGAAATGACATCAAAGAAGAAGCATTAATTACTAGTTGCTTAGCTGCTTAGCTGCTACACCCTAAAGACCACGAGACCTTTCCAAATGATTTGCAGATGAAACATTCCATACGTGTTGTCTTCCCATTAGAATGTGAGCTCCTGGAGAGCAGTGTCTGATGTTTTGTTTTTTTTTTATTATTTGTGTACCTAGAGTTTAGCACAGTACTTTGCAGAAAGTAATAGAGGGTGAAAGGGAGGGAAGGAGAAAGGAAGGAACAAAGGAAGAAAAGAGGAAAGGAAGGAAGTCATATGCCCTGGTTATTTTTTTTTCAGATCTGAACACAATGTGTTTGGAGGAAGGGACACTAAGAAAATGACAGACATATGATCATAGGTTTTAGATCTGCAATGGGCTTTAGATATCATCTAGCTCGGTGGTCCTCCGTGTTGTCTGGTGACCCCTAGGGGTACCTAAAACCCTCTCAGGGGATGCTCTGGGTCAAAACTATTTTCAGAATAATACTAAGACATTTTATTTTCTAACATAAATATTGATAGATACAACCCACATAAACAAAAGCTCTTTGGGGAGTCTTCAATAAATTTTAAGAGTGTAAAGGAGTCCAGAGACCAAAAAGCTTGAGAACCAATGATCTAGAACAATTCCCTACTTAGATGAGACACACTGATGAGGAAGCTTCTCCAAGATCACACAGTGGGTAGTGAAGTGCAAAGCAGGCATTCAAACCCAGGTCTTCTGATTCCAAACCCTATTTTCTTTCCACTATGTCATGCTATTGGTCACAGGCATTGAACATGGCTACACATATATGAATACAAGCATACATACACACCTCTTTCTGTAAACTAAGGAGGAAGTGAAGTATCTGAGTAATTCTTAGGCCAGTGCTCAAAATATAAAATGAATCTGGCATTATAATGAAAAATAAAACATGGCCTCAGGAGGACAGACACTGTGGGAACAAAATGGGTTGGAGGGACTTGAAAGGCAGGGTCTGGATGCATCAGCCCATTAGAACGTGTTTAGTGTGGCGGAAAGAGCACTTATTTGAGCATCTAGTGGTTTTAACCCAACTCTGCCTCGAGTTCATTGTGAGAAGTAGAGGAAATCACTTTACTTTTCTCAGTTTTAACTTTGTTTCTTCACATGCAAAATGAGGGAATTGACTGGATGATCCTTCAGGTCCCTTTTAGCTCTGACAATCTATGAAAGAGAAAAGGGACATGCATCCCCAAGGCTATCTTCTTAAGCTCTTAGTTAAGCTGGCCAAGGACCAAGCTGGGAAGAAGGCCTTTGGACCACCAACCCATCTCATTTTTCAACCTTCCTTTCCCCCTTTTAATGTCTCCTACACCAGATTCCCAAATGTCAGCATGCTGGTCAGAGTCCCATATTTTGGCATCCCATCTGAACTAGTCTTCCTGAACAATCCCCAATTTTCTCTTTCTTTCCTTAACTCCCTCATCAAAATTGACCTGTCTGGTGACTCATCCTTTTAGGGCCTCTCTCATTGGGTAATATGATTGACCTTAACATGTTAATGTGTTTTTTATATTACTACTTCCAGTTGAGGCCTGTCCTCTTTAATAGGAGCCCTCATAAAACACCATCTTAACCTGCTGCCTTATTTCACTCTATTGGATGCTTTCCTTTCAGGATGCACTATGGTGTAGTGAATAAAAGCATTGGATCTGGAATTGAGCCTTGGGTTCAAATCCTGGGTTAGCCCATTAGAATGGGACAGCCCTTGCCCTCCCTACCTTTCAGGGTTGTTTTGGTCGGAGTACTTCATGATCTCCTCACTCTACTTTGTTTTCTAGTTTTGTTTATATTTGTCATATTCTGCCCTACCCATTAAGCTACAAGCTCCCTGATAACAAGGATTACATTTTATTCATTTGTGTAGTTCCTTGTACACAGTAGGAAACAGTAAAAACTCATTAGATTCAATTTACCATGAAGGAGTGAACCTTATGGGGCAGATTAGTGGGGGAGATACTGTGGGAATGAGGGTAGCCCCCAATGCATACCACTTAGGTTGCAAGCTACTCCCAATTATCTGAGCATAATCCTCTGTGACTCTGGGTCCATGAAGACATTAATGGATAAATACAACCTTTGAGATTTTTAGGTCGGGGTTACATATTTTCCCTTCCCTATTAAACTGGTACATTTTAGCATCCTTTCAAGAAGGCTTGAAAGAAATTTTGAGAAATGTTTTGTTGGCCTGCACCTATTTTTCTTATCAAGCAAAGGATCTCCCTGCTATTGCCTATCCTTCTATAAAACACCTTCTATGATGTTGAAATGGCTTGGTAGATATATGCTTCACAAGCTGTATGACGCAAGATATGATCAACTCTGCTCCTACAAGGTAATAATAATCACACAAAAAAGAAACAAACATTTTTACTCACATATGAATAATGAAATTGTAACTTTTAAATGACTTAAAAGAAAAGTGACAATTTTCTGATTAAGCACGGAGATCTAGGCATCTGAAAGCTGTCCCAAATTTCATCAAATGGGCATAAAATTCCTGTTGTGTCTCCACCGGAGGGAAAGGGCACAGTTCTCAGAGACTACAGGTCTTATCAGGTAATACTTTAATCTGTTGCCTACAGAGGGTCTCAGTGGGTGTAAAAATGGGGGAGGGGGGCGGTGTGGAATGGGACCAGAATGCTGAATGCTCTGAGCTCTCTGGATTAGCAGGAGTGGGTTAACAGCTTCCACATCCTCTAGTCTCTCCAGGCCCTAAACACTTAGGCTAGCTAAGGAAGCCAGAGCTAGAAAAGGCCTTCTCTTCCAACTGACTACTGCCATCCCCAGGCTCAAGGTCAAAGCAAAAGATCAAGGATGGAAGGCCAATGTTGGGAAAGTTCTCCATCTTGTTCTCTGAAAAGCTTAATGCTCTCCATCTCCAGGGAATGTCTCTGATCTAAGATGATAGGGCTGTTTGAAGAGTCAAATATGCATTCAGAGAAGGCTCTAGAGCAGGGGTAGGGAACCTGCAGCCTTGAGGCCACATGTGGCCCTCTAGGTCCTCTACTGAGGCCCTTTGACTGAATCCAAAGGCCTCGAGGCCACAGGTCCCCCACTCTTCTTCTAGAGGGTGGGTAGGACAAGCAAAAGATGACTCGCTGGGCCAGGTTGGTCAGACACTACACTTTTCCCAGTAGAAGTAGAAGTAGCCTCTCTCAGGCTCCATCTCTATAGGAAGCTAATGGAAATGGTGGTAGAAAGCTTTGGAGCTAAGCTCTGACAACAGCACAACAGAAACAATCTCACCATTTTCATGAGCCTCAAAGTGCAAACGGACCTTCAGGAAGATGTGGAGATAGCACACCTGTGGCAGCACCTGGCTCATTGAGGCCCTGGGCTCTCAGGCCACCATCTCACAGGGCTAGAGGAGAGTCACTAGGTTTTCTGTAAAGCTCTAAAATCCTCGGGACAGGGTCCCCCCAGATTCTTCAAGATGATGCTTTTTGGCATAATTATAGGGGTGGTGCTTCTGTTCTACAAGTCATTCTAATATGTGAAAGGTGGAGTCCTAGTGACCTGACTCTTTCAGCCATGGTTGTCAGGGTGGGAGGCTACCCTGATTCATCTAGGACAATAGCCTCTGGACTTCTTTTGAGTTGTAGAAATAACCTGGGCTGAATCAATGACAATCTGGATACAATCCAGTATCTGTGATACTGGAAAGACTCTCTCTGATGTCTGCTCAAATTATGGAGAAAACTTGCCAATAATGTACTGAAGCAATGGGTAAAGCAGGGGATATGGTCTTCAAGGTCTGCTCCATGTTAGGGCAGCCACCTGCTACCAAGAAGCCTGGGCGAGCCCTGAATTGTTCTGACTCTTACTGCTTACTCTCCAGAGTATCTTTCTGGGGAGTCTGTGAGTAAAACACAACACGTTTCCAATGGCTATCTGCTCAGACTGATTCTCAGTGAGCAGAGGCTGCCAGATAGTTCATCTCAGAGTTCTGGATTGGCACATCAGGTAGTGAGGTAGGTTCATTTTCCTTCGACCCATTTCAATTTCTGGAACACCTGCAAGTACATGGCTTCATGGAGTTGAGGCAGACAGAGCCTTGAACAAAAAGGCTGGAGAGAGCAAATGGTAAAGAAACAACATGGGCCATAAATTAGCAAAAAGGTCTCGATGAGACAAAGAAGTAAGGCAGAGTCATGCTACAAAACAGCTCTGTAATGCTGTGGTTCCAGCCAAGTTCCTGAAGATGATTGGGGTATGAGGGATATACATCATTCTTATTCACCCTAGCTCTTCCAAGGGGAGTAACGAGTCTGCTCTTCTACATTGTGAGCATAAATGGGATACAATAGGCTTTCTAATCTTCAGATTTCAGAGCTGACTCACTTTCATATGATAAGGGAACACTGATGGCTGAGATGGATCCCTTCTTGGGCTAATGTCAGTGGATTTTATGACTAACTCCTTATTTTCCTCCACTTTATTCCTCTTCACTGCTTTTTCATTGCAGCTCTTTCCCATCCCAAGGGACTGCTTTCCTTCCAAGTGATGCTGGAGAAATGTGCTTAAGTGAACCTTGACCCAGCTGATGTGGGCCCAGCACAGGGTACAGATGGCATGGCTGGTATTTTTGCAGTCAATAAAAAAGAACTTCCAGTCCACTGAGATGGCCTTTGATCCTAACAGTTCAGGGATACATGCTGATAATTGGGATCATTAGTCCCTGGGCCAAAGATGGTAGGTTTAAGTGGTCTGGATGGTGCCCTAACTTTTTCCTCTGGTCTTAGTCTTCCTCTGGTCTTCATTTTCCCTCTTTTTCTGGATACTCATCTCTTTGGCCAGCCAAGCTATTGAGAGTTCATTCCACCTTGGTTCTCATTCTCACTGTAGTGGTCACATTCATACTGAAAGGATATCTTGGTGATACAGAAGGAAGAATTGGGCCAGAGCTAGAAAATGTATGATGTAGTTGAAAATCAAATTTAGATACTGTGAGAAGACTATCTCTTCTGATCTCCCTTCCCCCCTTTTCTTTCCCTCACTACCTAATCTCCCACGCTCCTCCACTTACTTTCTCTGTTGAAATCTTGCTCTTCTTGAGAGGCATCTTCTTTCTCCATCCTATTCCAACAGGTGATTTTTTTCCAGATGACAACTGAAGGTACTGATGCCAAAGCTTCCCTTTACCTTGTTCTGCCTAATGCTGACCTGGCATAAGGTGCAGGTTGCCCACTCCAACACTTGTGTCAAAGGACTGCCACACTGATGAGTTATATTTTCCCTTCTGTATGCAGATGGTATGAATTTTCCTTCTTGACTATTCAAGCAAGCTTAGTTCTGACCAGGCAGAGATGAGGTCTTCTGATCAGGGTGTGAGCAAAAAGCAATCCTTTGAAAGGCTAGGAAGTCTTCCTTCTCACAGCTCTTCCTCTTAGAGTTAAAAAGTCTCAGCCTCTTCCTTCAACCATTCCTTTTCACTGGACTCCAGTCTGACTTCAGTGTCTGGTACATACTTCCTGGCACCAGACCCAACAGCTGAGGGACATCAGTGATGCTGAACAAGCACGGGGGACAACAGAAGTGGCTGCTGGCTTCTGGGAACTGGTCTCAGCCAGGGTGGTACACGCCTTGAGACCTGGCTTCAACTGAGTCTAATGCACTATGCTTCTTATTGAGTTTGTTTTTTTCCTTTTCTGACATCTTGACTCTAAAAAAGATAGCTGAATAGTAGGGAAGGGGCCCAGGCAGCAGAACAATTTTCAAAGAAAGACTCTCTCTGATGTCTGCTCAAATTTGTCCCAACTGAGGTTATATTTGGGAATAGAAAAAATAGGCCAGTATTGATAGGAAGGAATAAGAAGACTGAAAAGAAGAAAGTATGTGATGAAAAGAGGTAGCTACAGGAGAAACAGCAGATACGCCAGGCTCAAGACAAAACCTCAAAGATGAGGAATCAAAACTTTCTCACATCAAAAGCCCTAGTAATACTATACACTATTCTCTTCTGCACAAAACAAACTGGTTCAGAGCAAAAAGGAGTGACTCCTCAACTTCAAAGCCTCCTCTGATTGTAGTCCAGGTGGATTTTATTGGGTTTGGTTTTTTTGGCCTAACTGGAGCTCTTAGAGATGAACTATCCTTCTACTCAGCATGGCCTTTCTTCCACACTGCTTCCTGTAACAGCTCTTACAACTGATCTCGGGCCTAAATGGTGATCAGGTGATCAAGTGTGGGTGATCTTCCAAGAATCCTCCTCCAGGTAGAATGGAGCCAGAATTGCAGCAGACAAAAGGGGCCTCTGGTGAAAGCCAGCAGACTGCCTCATCCCACACAATCACTCAGATGCCAAAGGACTAGAAGGCGCAAACTGGAACAAGTGGACCTATGGTGGAAGAGGGTAAGATGAAAATTCCATCAGGCTTCCCTTGATTCAGAGTCACTTCTGGAGCTGGGTCAGACAAGTTGTCTGCATAAAAACAGAGTCAATTCAAAGTCTGTCATGCTAGTTCGAAGTGGTATGATAAAGTTAACCCAAAGTCATTGCTCTTCAGTAATATAATTCATTACATGGCTACTTTACTGCTAATCTGCCTGTTCAGTTACCTCAATCTTTAATTAATGATAAAATGAGTTTGCATTTCAAGGAGAGACGAAAGCAGTGCAAGAAGAAAGCCCAAGATTAAAAATATGTTATAATTCATAAGATGCATTTTACAAACCCCTAAAGGATTTTTTAGGACTGATACCGAGTCCTAACTAGGCTACTGACTCAAGTTCAGGGCTCTGTATAATGGAGTAAGAAGAATTAGGATAATTTGAGAAAGAAATGAGATGAGAGAAACAAAGATAATAAAAGGATATAGAAACAGCAAAGAAATTGGTATTATTTGACTTGTAAAAGAGAAGATCTAATATGGCTGTCAACTAGATGAAAAGAAGACAAAATTGTACAGTGGAAAGAACATGATGTATGAGTCAGAAGACCTGAGTTCAAATCCTAACACTACTATTTACTACCTGTGAAGCTTTGGACAAGTTATTTCATATCTCCGGCTCTCAGTTTCCTCATCTGTCAAATGAAGGTGTCTGACTTGATGTTTTCTTGAATCACTCCAGTTCTGAACCTTATGAGCCTAACTCTCACCTCACAGAATATGATAATCAGCTATTCTCTATCTCCTTTGAAACGGAAAAAAAAAAAAGGACTGAAGTTGTAGCAAGAGAGATTGAAATTAAATATAACAAAGTACTTCCCAACATGGAAAACTGCCCAAAATTGAAGAGTATTACTACTGCAGCAGGTGTCAGAATCATCTTCTAGGGATGCCTACGTGGCTTAGATGGCTGCTGTGCAATGTATTTCTATGGGTCAGTAGAGAGGACAGACTGGATGATCTTTGTTTTGAGGGTCTTGGAAAGGAAAGATTCAATACTTTCAATTCTATCCCTATCTCTAGCCAATACCTAATCAAGTCTTTGAGGTTCTCATTTGAATATTAAGTTTTGTTTAAATGCCTATTCCTCAATAAATCCTTCTCTATCCCTTCTACTGTGGTATTTCAGAAAGAATGTTGAAATTACAATCACAGGATTAATCTCAGCTCTGCTGCTTTTAACCTGTGACCACGAACAAATTGTAAAATAAAAAACTGGACTAAAAAACTTCCAAGGTCCCTCAACTTAAATGGTGATCCTATGAATTTTAAATTTGTGAGCCCATGAACCAGTAGTGATCTCTTTATGGTACTGGCATTCATAGCACTCTGTTAACATACATCAGGCATTGATCATCTTCTATTTTATACCACAATTACTTGACTTATCTCCCTTGCTAATAGCTCACATTTGTATAGAGGCTCTAGAGTTCACAAAGCATTTTCCTCACATCCTATAAGGTAAGTAGTATAAGTATTACTATTACTATATTACAGATGAGGAATGGGGCTTAAAAAGGTGAATTGGTCACAAAGTCAGGGTCATGGTCACAGAGCTAGGAGTCTCTAAGTTCTCAGAGGACAGAAAGTAAGTCTTATTTACTTTAGAATCACCATCAATGCCTAGCATGGTCTCCTGCACGTGGTATACACTTAACTATTTGTTGAACTCAAGTGTATAATATAATAAAAGTATTATTCTCTGTGTTCGTAGGAGGTGGGATACTAAAAAAAAATAACCCCAAAACTAAAGGCCTTGTCCCTGCTCAAGAAGGATGTCAGAACATTAGACATGGAAAGGATCTTAGGAGTTTTCTAGTCCAGACTCTTCATTTTACAGATGAAAAAAACTGAGGCCAGGAGAGGTTAGGCAACTTACTCAAGGTCACACAGTAGGTAACAGATCTGGGACTAGAATCCACGCCTCTAGGCTCCAAGCCCAGTGTTTTTCCTCCTATACTATTGCCAGATAGGATTTAAATCAAAAACTACCGGCAAACTACTGAGACTTTCTCACTTACCACAAAGGAATGGGAGAGGGTCCTTTCAGGCTGGGTTAGGGTCTTGGTTACCTCCCCAAACCTGTATTCTAGGACCACGTTATAATCATTTGCACAGTTAGGCCACTTTTTGTGAACTGTTTTTCCTGTTTAAAATCCTCCATCAGCAATTATATAAAATGTAAATCTGTTTGCCTTTCTCCTATATAAGCTGTATTTCGGCGTTTGCATATTCTGTCTGCACCATATTTATTTGTAATCCCTTTGTTCTTACTATCCCTTTCCAAGTGAGTGAGCACTGAATCAACGCTGGTCTCTTTGCCTTTTGTCTCAGCTCTCCTTACTGAGTTCCTGCTTGCTGTCACCCTCTCAAACTCTCAAGGTCCCAGCCCTACAGTTTCCAACCAGAGAAACAGAGAATAACAGACTAAATTAAACAATTAGAGCATCCCATTTGAGGCATGGAGCCCCTCCAAAATGTTTGACAAATGGTCTTCCAGCATCCATCTGAAGACACCTTTAGGGCACAGGGGATTTTGAAGACAGATTGTGTGTTTTGTGACATCTTGGGTTGCACTCCCTTTGGCCAGTTTGTGACAGTAATAACTGATATTTATAGAGAGCTTTAAACTCTACAAAGCAATTTTCCTGAAATCACAATTTTATGAACTAGATAGTACGAGTATTTTTATTCCATTTTGCAAATAAGGAAACTGAGGCTCATGTAACTCGTCCACAGCCAAACTGCTAGTGAAAGATATAGGATTCAAACCCAAGTCTCCAAAGTCCAAATTCAGAGCCACATGAGAATGAGTCCTACCTACTAAGGGAAGAGCCTAGGGAGAAAAGAAAAGGAAGGATGGCTGGGGTACTGTGTGCATTCACATACATATGTGTCTAACAGGATGAGGTAAAAATAACTACAGTTAATTTTTTTCACATATGAAAACTTGCCTTTTATAAAGCAAAAATAAGCAAGAGAGAATGTTTAAAATCACAAAATCATGTACACCTTGGTGTTGCATTAAAATTTTATTTTACTTTCAAATATGAACCACCTACATCATGCTATTTTTTAACCACATCCTGATTTTTATGTAACCCTGAATATGTGCATATATTTACATGTGTGTATATCTTCAACAATCCGAGAGATATGTGATCTCATCAGGGTGGGTACTTCTTTAACCAGAGTTGAGCGTAGTGCCTGGCACATAACAAGTGTTTAACAAATATTTATGGACTGACTGACAATAGATGTCAAACATTCAAAAACTTCTCATAGTTGTGAGTTTTGTGCATTCATATCTTCCTCTGAAGAATGCACCCAGCACAATGAAGTACTTCCTCCAACCCTTTGATCATATCAGTCCTACCAATGTTGTACTTGGGCTCCATCTGAGGCCTCTCACTCCCTCAACATTTCTGGCTTACCTGACTTTCTGCAAAATTCATTCTTCATCCACTTTGTCTTTCCAGTACTAACAGCTTAATAGGATATCTTTCATGCAACTGTTATTAGGGATGAGGGGAAAAAGAAAGCAATAACTTTAGAGTCAGATAACCGATAACATCCTGGTTTAGCTACTTATTAGTTATGTGATCTCAGGAAAATCTCTTCACTAAATTTCCTAATCTGTAAAATAAGGAAGTTGTACTAGATAAACTAAAGTCTATTCAATCTTAAAATCCTGTGAATTGTAAGCCCTATAGGGCTCAACACAGACAAGAGCATTTACAGAAATCCCACTTACATATGATGTGTTTTGTTATTTAAGTCCACCTTCTCGATGTGCAGTTGGTGGAAACACTACAGCAGTGGAAAAGACATTAAACCAGCAATGCAGAGACGTTGTTTTTGTCTTACTTCTGGCACACACTTTCTGTGTGACCTTGAGCAAGTCATACAGGATTAAGAGTCAGGGAGACACCTTGGGGGGGACCAGGGGACAGGAATCTGTGGCCTTAAGGCCACATGTGGCCAGCTGCGGGTTCCCCACCCCGGCGTCCAGACCAACCTCTTAGTTTAATCAGGAATCCATCACTATAATCCTGGTTATCTACCCTCTCCTTGAACATTTCCAATGAGACATCCCTACCTCAAAGGTAGATGTGGAATCTCATAGAGACATGAATGTGTATGTCTATGCATATATGTAAAGCACTCCGCAAACCTTAAAGTGCTACATAAAAGCTAGCATGTATATATTATTAACATTATATGTTATTATTACTATTACATATGAGCTAGAAGGCACTCCAAACCCCGCTGAAAATAACCCCTTTATTTTACACATTAGGAAACCAAGTCCCAGAGAGGTTACCCCAGGTCACACGGGGGATCCTGGGGATAATCCTCATTCCTGCTTCAGCCACCAATAGCAGGGCGGCGTGAGGATGGAGCGGGCCGGCCTGCGCCGGGACCATGCTTCTCCGGGACTAAGAATCTCGTGTAAAGCTAAGGTTCTTCCTGGGTGGGCAGGGCACTCGCCGGGCCATCCTGTTTGGGCAACTCGGCTTTAAACCACCCCCCGGACCCTCACCCCGGGCAGTGAAGGGGAGTCGAGAAGAAATGATGCACAAGTCCCAGCTCCGCTTCCCCAGACAACAGCGCTTCTGCCGACCGTGACACGACCGTGACCCAACCGTGACCCCGACCGTGACCCCGACCGTGAACTAAGCCTCGCCTCGCCTCGCCAGAGGCCCTTACCCCGCGCCGTGGAGAAAGTCGCTGTCAGGGCGGTAACGAACAGCACCCAATCCAGTCCGCCCACAGAGGCGGGCCCGACCCGGGGAGCAGCTCACGCCCCACTTTCGCTGGCGGGAGGCTCTCCAAGGACGCAACCTCTAGGACTAGCCAATGGTGAGGCTCGGAGAGAGCCGAAGAACTGGACCGGCTCATCGGGATGTGACGGAGGGGGAGCCCAGTCACCACCCAGAGATGCGGGCGGGGTTGTCAAGGAGAATGACCGCCTACTGAGGCCGAAAAATCGTGTCCTCCCCCGAGTAAATAAACAGTCCAAGTGGAGATTTCTCCACCCTCCCCCTCATTAGCGTGCTGTGCTATGTAACGCGCATGCTCCAATTCTCCTGGTTTCCTCCACCATCCATAGGTCTCAAGCATCTCTCACGTGAGTCGTCACTATTTTTAGGTGGTCTGGGCACGCATCAAAGCCCAGTTTCACAAGAATGCACCCTAATTCTTTCGGTAGACACATTTGAAGCTGGAATATAAAAAGTTCTTCTTAGAAAATGTAAGGTCAGTGATAACTCTACCACTTGGAAAGTATTTTTTGTACATTATTATTCACCATGTCCCCCACTGGCAAAATCTGATCCAAAGAATAACTTAGAACTTCAAAAACAAAACACATTTTCTTTATTATTATTTTTAATTGATGAATTGACTTCACTTAATAAGTATGTATTGACTAACTTTTAAAAAATCATACTGGTTACCAACAGTATTGGAAAAGTGTGAATGTAAACTGAACGACATGTATCACATTAGGTTCAGGGTTTTTGTTTTTGTTTTTTTTTTGGTGAGTTTGGTTTTTTTTTTGCATATAGGCAAATAACAAAATGACAAAATCTTATTAATGTGTGGGAAATAACCAAGAAAAGAATGGTGAGTGATTGGAAGAGGGAAAGATCAAACCACATGATCTCCAAAGTGTGTTCCAGTCTTAAGATTCTATGACCATGAAATACACATATGAATACATATAACATATGCCACTTCCAACTTGCAAAGAAAGTTTTAAAAGCTATAGTGCAAATTGAATAGAGAAAGACTAGAGGGATGTAAAGTAAGGGAGCAATTCTAGAAGGGTAGGGCTCATCAGAGAAGACTTATTTGAAGTAGCCAGTAGATGAGAATTAGAGAAAAAGGACTGGAAGAGGCATTGTATTTGGGGAAAATGCCATGAACAGAGATATAAATGGAGTTTAGCCAGTCACATGTAGGAATGGGAAAGGTACAAGTAGGTGAATTGAGCAAAGGAACCTGAAATTCAGTAGAGAAGGTGATGCTAGAGAGGAAAAGCCAACTCAGTACCATGTTATTCAATTATTGAGTTCAACAGATACTTTTGAGCTCACCTGCTATGGGGAAGGCCTTAGAGAACTTGGAGTCTGAGCTGGCAGATAACATTCTAATTCCAGGGAATGGCAGATTGAAAAATACTTTTTGAAGCTGGGCGGCTGTGGTTGTTTTGCTTTGGAGGACAGGGTCATTGGATGGAACAATTTATCAAGCTTTCCTCTAATACTTGTGGAGGTATATCAAAAGCAGTCTTTTTAGTTCAACTAAAATATTAAGAAATAAATATTTCTCCAGTCTTTCTAGACATTTCCTTTTAGGAAAATGTATAGAACTTTTAAGAACAAAAACAGAAGACCAAGGGAAAATAGATTAAGAGTGATAACCAAAATGAGAACAAAAAGTACCTCCTTTCTTGTTAAGATGTTGCCTTCTTCATCCCCTGAAGGAGTTGCTATTGTGATCCTACTTTAGTATCTTCTTTCCCATTCAGAAGGGATATAGAGCATAGCAAATCTTGCCCTTGGCCTGTTTCTTGTACCATCCTTGACTTAGGACTATTTTTACATTTTTTAAATAAAGTTTTATTATATTTAAAAATATAAATCCATTTTTGGCTCTCCACAGTGTTTGCTAACCCCTAGATTGGAGTATTGATCACAGATCACAGATCAAAGCTTTTTCCACTCTTGAGGGGAGTGGTCATTTAAAGACCCAATTGTTTTTAGAATATTAAGTGATTATTCTTCTATAGGAATAGAATGTGTTAAGAACTGTTAAAGGATCCCCTGAACTTGTCTTTTTGAGTTGCTATATTTTCTAGGAGCACTGGACCCAGAGCATGCAGGAGACCCTGAATGTGTCAAGGACAAAGTTTACCTTTAAACTGACATAATTCGTTGTTTGTACCCCAACCTGGATTCCCTACGTGTCCTTGAGGGGCAAGAAAGGTGCCAGCCAATCTGTGCCAGTCTGGGATAATGCTTGTATAGTTGGGGTCCTTTGCAGATAAGCAAAGCCTCCTATCTTCATAGTCTAATGGTTCCCAAAGGAAAAAGAATGTGGTTTTTGCCATTGCCCTGCCCTCCCCTTTGGGATGCCATGATGAAACTGTTTTTAAGGAAGATTACTCAGGAAGCACTGGTTCTGACCACACACTAGAGCAAGAAGATTCTAGAGGCAAGGGGACCATGTGGGAGGCAATCTGCAATAGTTCAGATGTAAACTGGTAAAGATACAGACTAAGGTGATGACAACTTAAATAGCAACGAAGAGATGAATACAAGAGACCATTTTCCCCTCAATCTATTATTTATTTATTTTAATCTTCTTTTGAACATTTTCTCCCTCTTTCCAGCCTTTCTCCCACCTGCTGAGAAGGCAAGCAATATGATATCAGTTATACGTGTGAAATTATGCAAAACATTTCTAAATTAGGCATGTTACAAAAAAAAGCACAAGAAAAATAAAGTGAGAAAATTATTCTTCAGTTTGTACTCAGAGTTCAATTCTCTCTCTGGAGGTGAATAGCATTTTTTCATCATGAGTCCTTTTGAATTGTCTTAGATCGTTGTGTTGACCAGAGTAGCTAAGTCTTTCACAGTTGATCATTGTTACAATATATGATTATCTCCTGGTTCTGCTCACTTCACTGCATCACTTCATGTAAGTCTTCCAGGTTTTTTTTTTTTTTTGAAACTATCTCTTTGAAACCATCATTTCTTGTACACAATAGTATTCCATTACAATCAAATACCACAACTTTTTCAACCATTCCCCAATTGATGGATGTTCCCTCAGTTTTCAATTCTTTGCCACCACAAAAAAGAGTTGCTATACATATAGCTCCTTTTCCTTATTCTTTGATCTCTTTGGTATACAGATCTAGTAGTGGTATTGCTGAGTCAAAGGTTATGAAGTTTTATTTTGGTTGTTGTTGAGTCTTTTGGTTGCGTCCTACTCTTTGTGACCCTGTTTGGGATTTCTTGGCATAAATCCCAGAGTGGTTTGCCATTTCCTGCTCAAGCTCATTTTTACAGATGAGGAAACTGAGGCATACTGGGTTAAGTGACTTGCCCGGGGTCATAGAGTCAATATCTGAGGCCAGATTTGAACTCAGTTCCTCCCGACTCCAGTCCTGGCATTCTATCCACTATGCCACCTAGTTGCCCCATAGCCCTTTGAGAGTAGTTCCAAATTGTTCTCAAGAACGGCTGGACCAGTTTACAATTTCACCAACAGTGCATTAGTGTACTTATGACGAGGGCTTCATTCAGTTTCAGACGCTGTGACCTTTGCCCCTTTTCACCAAAAGGAATTTGGCTCCCATTTGTTGAAAACCCTTATCTGCCTTCCAAAGCCTTAGCCTCGCCTTTTGATATGCACCTTTCCTCCCTAGCCCTAAAAAGAACCAGGCTCCAGTTTGTCTGTGGGTCCCAGAAAACCCTTAAACTTTTAGGTTCCTTATCTACTCTCTTTATCTTCCTTGGAAAGCAAACTTCCTCCTTCCAGTTCCCTTCATTATCTATTCTCATTGTCTGTTCAATCTCTCAGACCTCCCAAACAGACTTCCTACCTAGACCCTTTTTTTCCCAACCACCTCCCCCCCTTCCTCTGGCCACCCAAAGTTACTTTACTGTATTTAAGATCCACCTTAGCCCCGGTTCAGATACTGAGAACCTCTCACGCCTAGAGGCTGAGACTGTCATGCCCACTTGTCCTTTCGGCTTCACCTGGCCTCCCCCATTCAGATGCTGAGAATCTCACGCCCAGAAGGCTGAGGCTGTCTCATGCCTGCTCCTCCTGTCCCTACGGGCATCACCTGGCCTATATGTGATTTATCCACTCTAGCCCACATTCAGATGCTGAGAATCTCATGCCCAAAAGGCTGAGGTTTTCTCATGCCTGCTGGTCCTTATGGGCATTACTGATTTTTGGGTTCCTTGGGAGTCTGGTCTATATGCTTTATCTTTAATAAACTATTTCTCTGGCTGGAAGATTTGGGTTGAATTCATTCAGGCAGTCCCAGTGCCGTGATCTTGGGGGGGTCCAAGCGCCCCAAAACCCCTGGACCTCTTCACCTATTTTTCTACATCCCCACCAGCATTTGTCTTTTTCCTTTTCTATCATTTTAGGGTGTGAGGTGGTACCTCAGAGTTGTTTTAATTTTCATTTCTCTAATCAGTAGTGATTTAGAGCATTTTTTCACGTGAAATTTGTTATACTTTCCCTCTATAGGTTTATTCTCAGCTTTGTAGGGTATGTTAGTCTTGATTGTAAATCTTTATCTTTTGCCTTCTGGAATATTCCAAGATCACTTTTCATTTATATGTGAAGTTGCCAGGTCTTACATGATCCTGACTACGTTCCTTGGTTCTTGACTAGCTTCTTTTTGGAAGCTTATAGTATTTTTATTTTGATATGGGAACTCTGTTTTTTTTTTTCTTTTTTGACTCTGATAAGTTATAGGTAGCTTTGATTTTTTCCGAAAACTGCCTGTTCATATCCCTTGACCATTTATCAATTAGGAAATGGCTCTTTATTTTTTATAAATTTGATTCAGTTCCCTATATATTTTAAAAATGAGGCCTTTATCAGAGACACTTGCTATAAATTTTTTATATTACTTCATTGTCTATGGTTCCTTTCGGCAAAATGTAGTTTCCTCATTTATCTCTTTTAATTATGTCTGTTTTTTGCTTTTGCTTTGTCTGAAATCATAATTGCTATATAACAGATCCCTCTCCAGCCCCTAATGTTAACTCTGTGTTTGTGTACTTCTGTTTCAAGTATGACAAGAGACCATTTTTAAGGAAAAATCAATGGGACTTCATGGCTGATATGAAGGGATGCAGGAGAAGCAGAGGATCATAGATTATGTAAGAGAAAAGGGATATGGAAGGTGAACATAGTACATGTTTTTACAAATAAACTAAGTGATGGTAATCAAAATAGTTTTGATTTACCGTAGTCTAAAAGCATTTATTGAATACCTACTTCATACATGATATGACATAGAATTGCTAATAATTTTTATATAAAACTATCAATCTCTATTTCATACAGCTTGCTTTTCTTTAAAAATATATAATAAATATTACAATATTGTTTTCAAAACCACCCTGCTTATCTGTGCTTCTTTGTATGTATTTTTAACTGTCTTAATGACCCTCCATCTTGGTATCACTGTTGTTAACCTCCCTTCCCCTTACTTCCCTACCCCCCCTGACTGAAAACAGAGAGGAAGAAAGGAAAAAATTCAAACAAATTCAAACAAAAGAAATCCACACTGTTACTATGTCCAAAAATGTATGCCTTTTTCTTCACCTTGTTTCCAATACCTTTTTGTCAGGAGGTGGGTAACATACTTCATCATAGGCCTTCTGGAGACATGGTTGGTAGTTGCCCAATCTTCCCCCTTTTCCTCCGTGTTTGTATCATCTTTCACTCACACATCCCAGCTCTGAATAATCACAAGTTCCATTTTCTTATTTCTCCGGTCTACATTAGTGTATTCCTTTTACCCTTCCTTCTCTTTCCCTTCACTAAATCCTTAGATTAAAACAAATCCACCCCCAGTACCTCAGTTTTGCTTATTTGACTCCCTAAATATCCTTTGAAGACATTAAGATTATGAAAGGACACTGGTTACTTCACCCCCTATTAAAATGTTAATACTAGGTCCAGGTCATCATACAATTCCTTCTAATTGCTCAAATAAATTTACCTTTCCTGGTTTCCCTCGACTCTTGTGTTCATATTTCAAGCATTTACTCAGCTCTAAGTTTTCATAGATAATCGTTAAAAGTCCTCTAATTCTTTAAAAATCCATTTTCCCCTTGTAGGTTTATTCTTAGCTTTGTTGAGTATGTTAGTCTTGATTGTAAATCTTTATCTTTTGCTTTTTGGAATATTCTAAGATCTCTTTTCATTTCTATGTGGAGCTGCCAGGTCTTGCATGATCCTTTGTTCTTTCATGCTTGAATAGTTTCTTTTTGGATGCTTGTAGTATTTTTATTTTGATATGGGAACTCTGGGTTTTGGGTTTTTTTTTTGGTTTTTGGCTCTGATAATACTGTAACTTTTACTCCTTTTTTCCCCAGAAGATAATTGGTGAATTCTTTTTTTTTTTGGCTTTACTTTGTCCACTGGTCCTAATAGATCTAGGCAGTTTTTATGTATGATTTCTTGAATATGGTGTTCAGTCTTTTAAAAATGGTTTTCAGGGAGTCCAGTGTTTCTTAAATTTTCTCTTGGTCACCTGCTTTCCAATTTTACTGTTTTTTTTGTACTAATCTTACATTTTTTCTTCTATTTTTTTCCATCTTTTGATTTTGTCTTAATATTTCTTAACTATTTCATGGAACCATTGATATATTTGGTCTATTCTGATTTTTAGGAACGCCACTATTTGGGTAAAGTTTACCATTTTCTCTTCTAAGCTACTTATTCTCCTTCTCATTCTTTCCTCCAAAATTTTTATTTCATTTTATTTTCCACAGCTCGGTAACACAGTGGGTAGAGTCCTGGACCAGGAGTCAGGAAGACCTGAGTTCAAATTCAGCCTCCTATAATTCCTAGGTATGACCTTGGGCAAATCACTTAACTTCTGTTTGACTCAGTTTCCTCATTTGTAAAATGGGGATAATAATAGTCCTATCTAATAGTCACTATCTTGTAGTAAGAATAAAGAGATAATATTTGCAAAGGGCTTTGTAAATCCTGAATCTATCTCAAATGCTAGCTATTGTTATTATTATTTTTAATATCTTGTTCATTTCTTCTAGGTATTCATATAGTTCTTACAGAAAATTCTTTTTTTTTTTTGCCGTTTGATTCTCGGCTTGCAGTGTTATAGGGTTACTTGCTCATACTTCTGGAGGATCTCTAGATCTACAATAATTTTTTATACAGGTCAGTGTCTTCTTTGATTTACTCATCTCCAGCTTTAGTTCCTGAATTGGGACTTTGTGCTAGGTTCAGGCTGCCCCCCCATTGCACCTTTGGGTCAAGCAGATTAGTCTCATCCTAGTTCTCTTGAGTTCTTGCGTTGACCTCCATTTCCCATGATGAGCCCCACATACTGGATCTTTGAGGCCCTATCTGGAATTTCAATACCTGTATAGAGCATTAGGGACCTCCAAGCCCCCAGGTATGAGTTGTCCCTGTCTGAGCACTGGAGCTGGATAATGGTTGCTGCCCATTGCTGCTCCCTAGGGCTTCCAATTTTCCTTCTCTGGGGCTTCCTGCCAAACTTGAAGTTTGTCCACCCTGGGTAATTTTCAGGTGAAAGATCTCTCGGGCTCTCAATGCCTTGCCTGTTCCCTGTGTCCCTATCTCTGGTCACACTCAGAGCCTGATTTGTAGACACATATTTCTGCATTCAGTACCTCATCCTAACATGGAGATGACCTAAGTTCTCAAAAGCATTGTAAAGGGAGTACAAATTCTGCCAATTCCTATCAGGTTGGATGGACTTTGAATACAGGTTCCATCACACATATTGCACTTCTTATCCAAAGACCAGCTTTTGTTAAGTTAAGAGAAACTCACCCTTAGGAAGTTGACCACAAGGCAATTTTGGGTTTTTTGGGGGAAAGGCAGGATAGAGTGGATAGAACTCAGAATGACTGCTTACTGAGAGACTCAAAAGGTTGTAATCAGGGGGGCAGCTAGGTGGTGCAGTGGATAGAGCACTGGCCCTGAAGTCAGGAGTACCTGAGTTCAAATGCGGCCTCAGATGAAACACTCGACACTTACTAGCTGTGTGACCCTGCACAAATCACTTTTGTGATCTGCCTTTGTAGAGAGATTCATCCTACTAAGATAGGAGGGAGAAAGGTCCTTGTGGTTTTGGAAAATATTTATTATTCAATGTTTTCATCACTGGAAAAAACTACCATCCTAAGAAGAACTAAGAATCTTAAAAAATTTTTGAAATTCATCTCGATGCTTCCGGATGAAAGCACAAATTTCTTCCCAAAACCACCTTAAAGAAGTAATAATTCGCCAAATTAGCCTTTTTAAGAAATTGTCCTCATTTTTGCTTTTCTGTTTCTTGGGACTTGACCTTTCTTTTTCTTTTTGGTCGAGTTCTTCAGTCTGAGTGTAGATTGGATTGCCGAAGCACGAGTCCCTATTGTTCTTCACCATGTGGGTGACCTTTTCTATGAATTCGATGACCTGGGCTTCCTTCTCTTCTCCCGTTGCATCATTGTTGAAAGCACAGTACCGTCCTCCACAGCTTTCTATCAGCTTCGCAAAATCCTGATCTTTACATTTCTCTACAAAATCATCTATGCTCTCCCCCTTTAGCCCCTCTTTTTTAGTGAATAATAAGATAGCGTATTTCAGTGCATCATTTCCAAAAACTTCTGAGATGAGTTGAATGGTTACTTCGTCTTCTTTAGTGAAACAGCCTAAAGACATTACAGTAACAAATGCATGAGGCCCTGGGGAGGAGATCACCAGCTGCTTAGCAAGTTCTTGTATAGTTTCTTCGATATTGTTGTCTCTATCAAAAATGCCAGGTGTGTCGATCACTGAAACTATTCTGTTATTCCTCATGCTGCTTGCTTTTTCGCATTTCTTGGTTACTGAAACTGGGGATAATTCAGATTTAAATGCATTCCTGCCGAGGATAGTGTTTCCCGTTGCACTTTTTCCAGACCCAGTCTTCCCCAAAAGGATAATTCTGACATCTTCTGAGTAACTGCCAGGTCCAGGCCCTCCTGGGAAGAAGAAAGACATATTCATAACCTCCTTTCACAGACTGAATTGAAGTTAGAAATGAGGCAACTATTAAAGTGATCCCTTTATTCTTTAGGCAAGAGCCAAAGTTTGGGCCCCTGGCTTAACTTTGTCACCTGCTGCCTCTCAAGGACCCTGCCATAGGGTCTACCGACATTTTCTTTTTTTTTCTTCTAAATATTCTATTTATTTATATTTCTAAAATTTCTAAATAAATAAATAAAATTTCTAAAAAAAAATTATTGATATCTTCTGGGTTTTTTTTCAAATGTTTCCACAATTTCTGCCAATATCTCTCTCCTTTTTCTTCCCTTTCCCCTTGCCGGATGGCCATCCCACTTAACAGTATTTTTAAAGGAAAAACAAAATGAAAATCAATACATCTGATCAATATATTCAGTACTTTGTGTTAGCAGGAGCTCCTAAAACAGCTTTTTTCTATTCTCTCCAATCCTGAACCTTTCTTCATCCTCCTCCCTACCTCTGCTGTTATTGTGCCCTACTTCATAGTGAACCATCCTGATAGCAATATGCCTCAGGCCAGGTTTTGCCAGAACTCTACCTAGCACGAGGTAAAGAAGGCTTTGCCCCAGGGTACCAGTATTGGGGAGGGGAGTAGGCTTCTTTTCCAAGGCTACAGTCCCAGGGCCTCAAGCTCCCTTTCCCATCCTCCTCTCCGACTTCTTTCCCCTACTGTCACCAACAAAGTGAAGAACAGAAGGGTAGGTCTCTCATCCCCCAGCTGCTATACCTATACCTACAATTTATCTCTGCTTTACTTCCAACTCTGTCCCCAGTCAGGGATATACTGGAGCCAGCTCATACTGACTCCCAACAACTGGTTATTACATTTTCAGTTTGACCCTTTATACCTCAGCAATCATCAAAAGCTACAGATCAGGGTTTGATTTATTGTTTTGTTAGGTGCCTAGACCTGAGAAAGTGATGGAGAAAATGTTAATATGCAGATTAGACTTTTAAATATGTCTTATATTTTGGAGAGCCAGTTATTAAGCATTTACCAACACTGCACTGCCCCCAACCCGGCTCTAGTTCTTCCCCACTCTAGTCATCTTTGTTTGTATTTGTTCCAGGGAGTCAATGCCTTTCCTAAAATATGGCGACCAGAACTAGACAAGGTTCTCCTGGTGTGGTCTCACCTGGAAAGTATCTCATAGGACTATGACCTCCTTCCTTCATTATGGGCACTAGTCCTCTCTGGACACAGTTTACAGTGACTCTTCCTTGTTTTGTCAGCTAGATTACATAGTGGATAAAGCATTGGTCTTGAATTCAGGAAGATCTGAATTCAAATCTGGCTTTAGATATTTACTAGCTATGTGACCCTGGGCAAGTCACTTAAAACTTCTCTGAGGCTGTTTTCTCATCTGTAAAAAAAAATGGGGTTAAAAATAGCACCTACGTCTTCAGGTGGTTTACAAGCATTAAATGAGATAACATATGTAACATGCTTTGCAAACCTTGAAACGCCATCTAAATGCCAATTATTATTATTGTTGTTGTTGTTGTTGCTGTTGTTGTTGTCATGTTGTTACCTCATAGGGAGTTTATAGTCTCCTGACATCTGCAGGTCTGGTTCATGTTGACTGTTGTTTAACCAAGCTTCCTACATCCTGTACTTGTGCCGTTGAGTTTTTGATCCCAGAGGGGTTATTGAAAATACAGGGCTTCCTTTTAAGGAAGGCTCCCACTGCATTCTTGCTGAAATTTCAGAAAAACCCTAGTATTACCAGCAATGCATCTATAAACCATTTTGCAGGTGGGTTGTTTCCACTGATGACTGATGTCTTTCATTTTGTGTTCATTGTTATTCCTTTCATTTTCTGAGTGTGACATTTTCTAACAGGGTTAGAGAGAAATTCGTGTGAAAAAGGTCTAGAGAATGAGCCATGTGTCAATTTGTTATGCTTAACTGTAAAAGAGAGGATTCCAAAAGAAGAAACGGTGGAAACAAGCATTTATTAAGTGCCGACTTTGTGCCTGGCATTGTGCTAATCACTTTACAATTGTTATCTCATTTGATCCTCACAACAACCCTAGATGGTAAGGGCTATTTTTATGCCCATTTTACAGTTGAGGAAACTGAGGCAGACAGATTGAGTGACTTGACCAGACTCACGCACTCTTCTGAGGGTAGGGTAGGGTAAGAGAAGTCACTGGAAAGTGATGATGATATAGAAAGAAGCAGCATAGATAAGATGTGTTATTTTCTTCAAGTGCTCAGGATGTCCCATAAAGACTTAGCATAGACCAGTAATAAAGAATGCTGCTATTAAAATTATAATAATTTAAAAGGCCTGGAGGCTTTACTGAACTGGTCTAAGGCCCTTCCAACTATAATATTCTATAATTCTAGAGGATAGATTAAGGGGAAAATGAGGTTCAGGGAGCTGGAAATATCCAGACTAAATGAGAGGTCCCTACTCTTATCAATGTATTCAGTAAAGAGTCTGATAAAAATGTTAGCACTCAGGTTGGGGGAGTTTTTTGTTTGTTTGTTTGTTTGTTTGTTTCGTTTTGTTTTGTTTTGTTTTGGTGAGGTAAAGAGGGAGGCTTCTCTGAGGTCCTAAAATCTCAACATTGATTGAACTGCCTATGCAAAAGTCCTATACTGGGTTGGAAGCCTGATGTTATTTATAGTAGCTCCCCATTTCCTTTGTCTATTCAGCTGATGAGGGAGCCAAAGTTGGGCACTAGCTCTATTGTGTATTCCTGGTTAGGGTCTATGAGAAAACATGTAGGGGTGGAGCCAAGATGGGGGAGTGAGAGGAAGCAATAGAATCTAAACTCTGCCCAACACTTTATGACAATATGGCCTAAATTAATTTACTTATTCAGTGTCATACCAATCAAGCCGCCAGAGAATTACTCCACAGAGCTAGAAAAAGTAATAACAGTTCATCTGGAGAAGCAAAAGTTCAAAAATATCAAGAGTATCAATAAAAAAATAAAATGAGGAGTACCAGATTTCAAACTCTACTACAAAGCAGTAATCATCAAAGAAATTTGATTAAGAAATAGAGCAGTTATCAGTGGAACGTATTAGGTACAAAATATACAGAAGTAAATGAACACAGTAACCTAGAGTTTGATAAACCCAAAGATCCCAACTATTGGGACAAGAACTCATTATTCAACAAAAACTATTGGAAAACTGGAAAGTAGTCTGATAGAAACTAGACATAGATCAATATCTTATACCATATACCAAGACAAAGCTCAAAATGGGCACATGATTTAGACATAAAAGATGACATCATAAGCAAATTAGTGGAATATGAAAGAAATTGCTTGTCAGATTTATGAATAAGGGAAGAATTCATGATCAAACAAGAGATAGAAAGGTTCATGGGAGGTAAAATGGACAATTTTGATGACATAAAACTGAAGTTTTTACACAAGCAAAACCAACACATCTAAAATTAGAAGAAAAGGAGAAAACTGGGAAAAGAATCTTTGCAGCAAGTTTTTCTGATAAAGGTCTCATTTCTTTTTTTTTGAATGGAATGATTCTTGAAATTTTTTCTTTTCTTTTTTTTTTTTTAGGCAATTGGGATTAAGTGACTTGCCCAGGGTCACACAGCTAGTAAGTGTCAAGTGTTTGGTCTGAGGCCGCATTTGAACTCAGGTTCTCCTGACTTCAGGGCCGGTGCTCTATCCACTGCGCCACCTAGCTACCAAAATTCATTTTTTTTAAAATTTTTTAATTTTTTTTGTCTAGGCAATGGGGTTAAGTGACTTGCCCAGGGTCACACAGCTAGTAAGTGTCAAAGGTTTGGTCTGAGGCCAGATTTGAACTCAGGTCCCCCTGAATCCAGGGTTGGTGCTTATCCACTGCGCCACCTAGCTGCCCCTCATTTCTAAGATATATAGAGAACTGAGTCAAATTTACAAGAATAAGAGCCATTCCCCCATTGATAAATGGTCAAGGGATATGAATAGGCAGTTTTCAGAGGAAGAAATCAAAGCTATCAATAGCCACATGAAAAAATGCTCTAACTTAATAATAATTAGAGGAATGCAAATTAAAATTCTGAGGTACGACCTCATACTCATCAGAATGGCTAAGATGACAAAAAAAGAAAATGAAAAGTGCTAGAGGGGTTATAGAAAGACAGGTACACTAATGCACTGTTGGTAAATCTATGAACTAGTTCAGCCATTTTGGAAAGCAATTTCAACTATGCCCCAAAAGCTATTAATCTGTGTGTGCCTTTGATCCAAAGACACTGCTAGTAACTGCACCTGAATCCCAAAGAGATCAAAGAAAAAGGAAAAGGATCCATAGTACAAAAGTATTTATGGCAGCTCTTTTTTATTGCAAGGAATTGGAAACTGAGGAGATGCTCATCAATTGAGGGATGGATGAACAAATTATGGTACAATAATGTTATAGAATATTATTGTATTGTAAGAAATGAAAGGGATGGTTTCAGAAAAACCTGGGAAGACTTGTGTGAATTGATGCAATGTGAAGTGAGTAGGACCAGAACAATTTATATAATAACAACATTATAATGATAATGGTCTTTGAAAGACTTAGTAACTCTAATCAACACAATGATCAACCACAATTCTAAAGGACTCATGATGAAACATGCTACCCTCTAAATATCCTCCAATGATGGACTCAGAGTGAAGATTGGAGTGTATTTTCTTTTCTTTCTTTCTTTTTCTTTTTGGACTTGCACAATGTAGAAATTTGTTTTGGGTGACTGTACATATTTGTAATGAGTTTTGTTTTTCTTGCCTTCTCAATAGGTGGTGGAAAGGGAAGAGGGACAGAGAGACTTAAGAAATGAAAATTAAATTAAATAAAATAAATCCAGTCAATATTTTTTTTAAAAAAGAAAATATGTGAATCAGATTTGCTTCATTTAACTGTTATCTTCATGAAGAAAAATGAATGCTATCCTAAGGATGATGTGAATGATATGTGTTTATCAGTCCTGTGGAGGTA